TAAAATGGCACAAATATATGGATTACTGCTATTTTGGTGGAAGAATAATGACACCACACTGGAAGAAAACTGATAAATGGTGTCTTAAAACAGTCTGCCACACAATATACACTAAAGTTGCACTGGTTCAGAAACAGCTGGTTGATTAGTTGATTGGTTGGTAGTAATTTTATTGATCAGTGAATCATTTAAGTAAGAAAAATTATTCTTCTGGTTTTCTTAGCTTTGCATAAATCCATCCCTTTGTTGTCTGAGGACTTTTCTTTTTCCATATTATGACATTTTATAGCTTACATGATTAATTGATGAGCTGAACGATCAATTGAAGAAAACAATAATCATGAAATAGTGGCCTCAAGTTAACTAAACTACAACCTACATCAAGCCACATCTGCTTAAATAACAAATAATTTGTGCTACAGACACAATGTAGCCAAGATTTTTAAAGTTTTCATGTTTGATTGAATGCTTTTAATATTTTTTAGTTACTTTTTTGAGTTTTTTAAAGAAGCTTTTGCGTTATTTAGTGTAAATAAATCTAAAATAAATGTCTAAAATAGCTACGGAAATGTTAAAAACACAGTCGGACTCACAAGTAACAAACTGAAGGCAGCAGCACCAAAAATATTTTTAATCCCAAATATTCCACCTGCTTCAAGACTTGCAAATACATTAGTCGCAATGCAACTCGACCTCTGAAGATCCAGTTTGAGATTTGGTTGTATTGTGCCTGTAGCAGCCTCGAGAGCTGCAGCACAGCATCTTCCAAACCCTCAGATGTTTATTCCCCCTATTTTCAAACCCGTCGTTATCAGGTTGTACCGAACGTGGAGTCACAACGCTGACTTCTCTCGCATGAGAAGTGGCACTGCGAGAACTGTAAACACACTCTGATGTGCAAAACGGCTGCAGTTCCTCTTTAACCGCTCTGTATAAATAAGAAAAGCAGCAAATCCCTGCTCTCGAGAAGCTGGATATTAGAGAACTTTGACATTTTAGCTGGAAAATTGAGTAATTAATATTCAAAATAATTCATTTTCCCAGCTTGCACGGCTCCGGCGCAACTATTAGAAGCTGAATTCTGTCGTTGCAGCGTTTGACAGAGCAGCCGGCAGCTCTTTGCTGTCTCCTGCCAACACGGCCAGGTGGCCCACTTTGCATACAGTATAGGCGTCCTTGTCACAGAGGTTAAACAAACAGGCCTCTGACTTGAATGAATGAATGACAAAAAAAAAAAAAAGCCTCTAAAATACATACAGTAGCCGCGACAAACATGCAAATGCTAAAGTAGGAAACCCATTAAGAGTAATCTGTGTGCAAGTGTGTCAATGTGAATGTGGCTCTGTTTTACAGCCCCCTTCCTGACACAGAGAGGAGGCATTTCCAGGGAGCCGATCTTCAGAGTCAGCAGGGCAAACAGGAAACATAACTCTGACCTGTCAGCGTGCCATATGCCAAACACACACACACACACACACACTCTGGTGCAGAACAAAAGCCACTATCGAGTTTAGAAAGTGGGGCAGAGATGTGTCCTTGGTCAAACAGCCATCGCTATCTGCTTCAGCCCACTGAGCCGCACCACAGCCCGAACCGAGCAGCGCCAAAAGCCTCCCGTGGCAAGAACAGAGAAGGAAGAAGAAGGAGAAGGGATGGAAATGAGAGGGAGGAGTGCTGAGAGGACGAGCCGATTCAAGCTGAGGCATGTAGATATGTGCACAGTTCTGCTTGTATCTGGAGAGAGGGAGTATCTCGGGCAGACAGCGAGGGCTTATGAAAAGTGCACTGTTAGTCTGACACTCGCTTCACACAGAGCTCTCGCGACGTGTGCCGAAAAGCTTAAAATCCTGCCTTTTGCGTCAGCACTTTAAACAAGGTGCTGCGCTGAAATACAAGGACGGAATCGCTAATCGGTCGGACACATGCGGCAGGAACTTTAGCTGAAGTTAGGACTGAATTTACATCAAATGCTCTGCAGCGGCTTCTCACCATCATCCACTCCGGCAACACTTTGCATAAAAAAAGATGGCACTTGAGGACAGTAAAGACGTTTTATGTGCACTTTGTGTGCACATTTTACAACTCGTTAGTTTGAGTCTCAGTGGAGGGTTTTTTTCTTTTTTTGTGAGGGTCCTGTGATGCTATTTTTGGAGCCTCTTTCAGAGCAAAATTAGGCAGCAAAGGAGACGCAGGATTCTTGTCTGTTATGTAGTACAGTGGTCAGATTTACAAACCAACCTTCTGTCACACATATGATGACATTTTTGCATTCCTATTGAATATGAATTATTATACTATAAATCACTTTTGGACAAGACTGAGGCAACTAAATTACACATGATCCGTAAGCATGATAATAATTCTGAGAAATCTGTGTATTTTCCTGTGATTTTTCACCATTTCACAATTAAAATTGTCATGAATTAATCCCAAATTAACAAAACTAGTCTAAAAAAAGCCACTGATTTCGAAGAATTCATAATTCCTATTATTTTCTTGCTGGCTAGAATCTGTTTAGAGGTAATAAAAATTCCTCTACGCCAAATAAAAACCTGCATACTGTCTGATACTGGCCAATGTTTTCTGCAATACTTCATGTTTGTAAAGTTGTATGTCTGATTTAAATGAGGAACTGTCTGAATAAATAAAGACAGGACACTAAAATGCAGCCATAAATTCAGGTAAATAAGAAATAAGGAAATTAAATCATGGTATGGGTGTCTAACCAGGACTGGGTGTTGATTTTTTTTGTTTTTTAATTTAAAAAAATTGTTGGCAATACAAGTTTTGGTGGATATGCCATACTATTTTTGCAATACTTTTTGGTTTTTCTGTTGTTTATATTTAAAAAATAATAAAAACTTATAAAATGTTAAATGTAGTCTAAACACAAGCCTAAGCACATTGATTTGCCCAAATAAGTTTGTCTAAAAATGGCTATTTTATAATTTAATTAAGGAACTAGTGGAAAATAAATTAGGACAGGACACTAAAACCCAGTAAAGAAAAATACAGTCAAATGAAAGAAATAAGAAAATAATGTTAAAACAAGTTTTGGTAGATATCAGACCATATTATGTTATTTATTATTCTGCAGTGATTTTTTGTTTTTTGTTTTTTTCCTAACTTATAAAATGTTAAATGTAGTTGAAACAAGTTTGAGCAAATAAACTCTGCCTGAGCAAAACTGCCTAAAAAAATGGCACAATTATAATAAAAATGACAAACTATCTAAACAAACAGAAACAAGACACTAAAATGCAGCAAAAAAATAAATACTGAAAAATAAAATAAATAAGGAACTTAACAATCAAATCAGGCTTCGAACTTGGTCTGAATATTGTTTTAAATCTAAAAACAGCTCAAATACAAGTTTTGTTAATTATAAGAACAGTTGTTTAGAATCTTCAGCTCCATATCTTTATGAATAATTCCAATTCTGACCAGATTTTCTGCAGCATGTCTCTACAAAACAGTGAACTGCTGTTAGTTTTTGTTTTAGAAAAATGCTCCCATTTGAAGACACTAAATATCAGACAGGCTCCAGTCTGCTGCACTGTGGTCTACAAGATAAGAGAACTAGTTGTTAAAAAAAAAAAAAAAAAAAAAAAAAAAAAAAAAAAGTGGGAGAAATCCCCCATCACAAGGCAACTGTTTGCCTCTCTCTCTACATATATAGATCTCAATATGGTGTCACTGTGGGAAATCTGATTGCACTGCCTGCATCTCATGTTACAGCTGTCTGTGGTAAACAAAATCCATAACAAGGAAATTCCCACATTTAGTTCCACTGTATTAAGCTCAGCGGCTGCACAGAAAAAAAAGGCACATCTTGCTGCTGAAAGTGTGGGACAAAGTTGTTCAAACTCCCGTCCTGTAGCTCATACGTGGGCTGTACCTGGCACGGGGCTTCAGAGCCGTGCCTCGCCAGATCATCCGACGACAAGGAAGAAAACAAAATTACAGGGAGTCCTTGGGGAGTACAGCTGGAATGGACACACCCTCTGGAGCTGATAGTGGTGGGGCTGTCTTCCTGTTGCAAGAAAATGTTTTCTCCACCGCCAACACCACTGTTTTGTCTGTCACTCAATTTGCTCTGGAAAAAAGGGACAGCTCTGTGTCTTTTCTAGTGGTGGCTCACCGCAGATGTTACTGCCCCAGAAATTAAAAAAAAAAAAAAGGCAAGCCATCTGTGTTGAAGTCGCCCTGTGATAATCACCATATTACAGCCCACATTTGCTCCAAAACACAGCTTTAAAAAATGCAACATAAAAGCACAGATGATGCTCTGTATTCATTTAACACGAATAGAAAGAAGGCAGAGCTCTGTTCCCATGAACAAGTTGAAAGAGGGGAGGGTAAATAAGGAAACAATCAATACTTTCACCCATTAATGAGCAACTAGCAATGGCTTTACGGTCTCAGTGCAGCTGATTTCTGCACATATTCTCCCTTTAAGTTGCATTATAGTATATTTAACAGCTAAAAAAATAATGCAGCAGCAATAAAAAGCAATGCACTGACATTATAGCATGTGCACTAAGTGCTTAATGTAGACACTATACCTCCAGTGTAGCATCCCGGTGGGGATTTAAACTGTTTTTGTGGTATTAAATGGTGAGTTTAATGACCTCAAGGAATCTAAAGTACTGCTGTGCTACTGTGCTGCACTTTAAGCTGGGATAGTTACATAAAAGAGGGCACAACTACAGGAACTTTATGCTGTTTGGTGACCTGCAGTGAGACACACAGGCCTCCCTATCAGCACAGTTTGGAAGCGACTCAGTGTAATAATAATTAAAAAAAAAAAAAAGTAGACACACCCTCTGTGCAAACGGGATAAATGTGCTCGAATATGTCGACAAAAGTGCTTCCCGGGGCTCGTCTCACAAACCAGAGTCCAGTTTCTTTATCCACATTTCCTGTCCCAACAAGCAGTCAACCCCCCTTCGACAAAAAGGCGGCGCAGAGCCGCACGGCGGAGGTTAAAACTCTCTTACCTGGACATAATTGTTCTCGCAGTAGTCGGCGACTCTGGTCAGGTTCTGGTAACTCTCCACCAGCGCTCTTTTACCGGCCGGAATCTCTTCCTCTAACAACATTTGTAGCTCTGCCATCTTACATCTCTCCGCAGAGCCTCCCTTCCCTCTCTGCCTTTTTCTCCCCCTTTGATTGAAACAGCCACCAGCCCAGCTCTGCCTCGAAAAAAAAAAAAAGAAAAAGAAAAAAAAAAAAAACACTCCTCTGCCTGCTATTGTGGGATTCCTGCCCTGCTTTGGCGTAACCTCCAGCCGAAGATCGTCTGTGCTGCGAAGAGGAATCACTCAGAAGAGAAAAACCACAAAACTGGTCAATCGGGATTTATCTGTAGCGTGAGGGTTGGGAAGAAAGAGTGTATAGATAACATTCGTAGAAAAACAGCACAAATGTACAAAAGTACAGTTGGGATTATTTATTTGCAGTTCATCTGAATGTTAAAAAAACAACAATATAGCACTTATCTACAGTACACACTGAAAAACAATAATATTGCAGTTTTACTATGTCATTCCACGAACTCCCTGACTAGAATATACAGAAAAAAAGAAAAAACAATAGTCAAACACAGAGCTGATGGCTCCATCCTTTTTAATGACATTAATAGCCAAATAGGGCACCTTCACAGTGAAAATGGGACATAATTTAGAAATAAATAAGGAAGGAAAGAAAGAAAGAAAGAAAGAAACTTTTTTTTCAAACAATAGATAACCCTCCACCCGACTCTTGTATTAACAATAAAGAAAGGTTTGTAAATGTATCTTCTGTTGAGAAAAACAAAACAAAAAACGATTAAACTAAATATTGCCTAATTTTTCCAACATTTTAATGTCTTTAAATAACCACACAATGTAAATACAACAACTGAAATACTTGTTATTGTTGTTATTAATAATTTTTGTTTCTTTTTTAAAATTTGTTTCTAATGAAATAGAGCTTTTAAAACTCTTTTAATAAATGTGCAGTTTTCAAAGGAGCAGAAGCGGTACAGAGTTTATTCTTTGTCATTTTGATGCATAATAATTAAATAGTTTAGCTAATTTTAAATTAATAATACTGTCCTTTTCATTAGCGTTGTAATTCTGGATTAAAGTGGGACTTTACTCAATATCATGTCCACTTTTATGTCATCATTACCAGGTGAACTTTTTTCTTTACCACAATCCTTTTCAGCAACACAGAAGCATTTGATATAGTCCCTCAAAAGATACTCATGGGGAAGTTTAATTTCCCCAATTTACCAGGTGTGCAAAATAGCACATTTTACATCAAATGAATGTAACCCTATGTGTTCGCTAAACAGCAAGAATATAAAAGCAATAAAATAAAAAATATTCCCACCCCACTCCACCCTGTAAACACTGTGTTAAAAATGAAGGACTCAATAATACAGGGACTGAGCATCTGAGGAAATGTTATCATAAATAGGTGTACTGAGAAAACACCAGAGGCAGGATCAGTCAAAATAGATATAAAAAAAAGAAAAGGTTCTTTTTCTCATTTGTTTCTTATGTCTTTTATTTAGTCAAATACATACCTGTCACAATTATTTGCAATTATTTCTTACAGTAATAAAATAATGTACTCATTTCTAAGGCTGGGGGGTTCTCAAAAACAACGACAAAGTGAGAGCTCTCGCTTTTTCCTCCCGTCCACATATCACTCTTCCAACCGAATTAAAAAAACATGGATCTGACTAGAGCATGCTGGGAAGTGTAGTGTTACACGCAGTGAACTGTAACGACATGAGTGCATGTTTTTTGCATTAACATTTAAGTAACGGATTATTTTATATTTTTCACTCCTCAAGACTATTCTAGTTTAATTCTTTAACATTTTGTGTCTCGTTAAAACCCAACTAGCAAGTCTTAAAACTACATTTCTAGTTAGTCGTTTTGCGGAGGATTGTGGAGTTTGTAGGCATAGTCGCTCTCTGATTATAAAACTACACATCCCACAGTGCCCCTCTGCTAGGCTTTATAATACTGTTCATGGCGTCTGGTCGAAGGCAAAAGACAAGTCGCCTTCTGATAAACAGATAGGCCGGTGAATTTTAAGGTAAGAAACGCCGGTTTTGAGATGTTTTGTCGAAAGTTAGGAAGCGTAGTTAGCATTTAGCATGAATAACGGTGCAGTTGGGGCCGTGTCGCACACGACATGGTGTGTCCTAGATCCACAACGGACTCAACCTCCTCCTACTGGTGGTCACAATTTAGACAGTAAAGTTCAGCTAGCTGTGAGTAGCGGCGCAAAATTGCAATTTTTACAGACTAACATCGCTACTAAGTGCGAGCATAAATGCCAACGTAGGCGTCCGCTTGTGTCAGCGCACACTTGTTGTTGCTGTCTTTCCTGTACGCCTCTGATTGTGTTTGTTTACTGTCCGGCAGGTCTTTTGTTAGCTGCCCCCGAGCGACGCGATGGAGGTGGAGAGTGTCAGTGTGGCGGACGAAGGGCGTCTGACCCAGCTGAGGTTTGACGCCGCCGTCAAAGTGATCAAGAGTTTACCCCCCGATGGTGAGTTGAGACGCCGGTTTGCAGCTCTCATCCAGGCCCGTTTAACCAGTTCGAGCATTCTGGTGTCATGTCAGGTTAGGCCAGGTGCCAAGCTGAGTCTGCTTTGGATCTTGTGCGATTTAAATAATCCACTTTACGAGCAGCCCCCGGAGCAGGTTTTTCTCTCGTGCAGCAGCAGCAGCAGCAGCAGCACACTATAGTGTAATAACTGCCATCATTCAAGGCCTGTTTTGTCTCAGAACCTTGAAGTCCTTCTGCAACATTGATTAACCCTCATCTCTGTGTATTACAGCTTAGATATTAAAGTTGCATAACACATTTTTCTCTTCATGCCTTACAGTGGCTCCTCTACACCAGGGGTGTCCACTCCTGGTCCTCGAGGGCCACAGTCCTGCATGTTTTAGATGTTTCCCTCTTCCAATGCACCTGATTCAAATGATCAGCTCATCATCAAGCTCTACAGAAGCCTAATAACGATCCAGATCATTTGAATCCGGTATGTTGGAAGAGGGAAACATCTAAAACATGCAGGACACCCCTGCTCTATACCAATGGCTTCCTATAGACTGGTGCAGATCTTTCTCCATGCACCCCTCTCCTATTACTGCATCTCAAGAACACTAGCTCACCTACTACCCTGCTCAAACACTGTAAAGCTACTCTATGCTACACAATGGCAAGCTAAAAGAACTACTGAACAGCTTGTTTAGATATTAATGCAATCACAATATGATCAAGTGCAATGTCCAGCTTGCAGGAGCTGCATTTTATCGGAAGAAAGTAAAATGTGTCTAACATACCTGTCGTACATGAAGCGTTACAGTGCTACAGAGAGGCCTTAGCCGACAAGTCTGCAGACATAAGGGAACATGAATATTTTGTGCAGACTGCAGCAAAAATCAGATCAACATTTTTATATTTGTTTTAAGATTGCAGGACCTAATTTTTATTTTTTTGCAAAAAGTAAAATGTGTCGCATCATGCATGTTATAAATGAAGCATTGTGGTGCTACAGAGGTGCCCTAGTCGACAAATCATTGTCTCAAGATGTAAGAGCACATGCTTGTTTTGTACACTACAGCAAACATCACATCATTATTTTTATATTTGTTGCAGTGTAAAAGAAATATATGCATATTGTTAAGCCCCAGTTGGAACTTGGAGCGGAACTCTAACTGTTTTGCAAGAGAGTGAAAGCGGCAGTATTAGCACCAGCTGAGTGTTTCTGTTGCACTTGTCCATTTTGTATAATTAAGGTTTCTTTCTTCAGGCCCCTTCCAGCCCTCCAACGACATGATGCTCAAGTTCTACAGTTACTATAAACAAGCCACCGTGGGATCGTGCAATATACCTCGACCAGGCTTTTGGGATGCAGTCGGCAAAACTAAATGGTAATATTTTGTTTTGTTTTGTTTTTCTGCACACAATGGATTCCTTCACAACTCTGTCATGTGGGAGAAATATCATGCCATTGTTTAATTTCATTAGTTGCCACATTGAATAAGAAGTTCTTCTCAAGGCTGAGATAACGAGCACAGTTTATACTAAAATTCAGAGCGTCCAATGGAAATCGTGCAAATACAACAGACATTGTTTGCACATTGTATAACATTCAGCGTCTTGCCCACGTTGGCCTCGCTGTGGGAGTAAAATCCTCTCCACTGGCTTCTCAGGTTGTGTTAGGTGATCTCGGACTCGGTGCTCATTTCAACACCACTTGGAATGTGACCTTGTACCCTCAACGCTCGACCGCTTCTCTTGGTGATTTCTGCAAGGGTTAGGGTTATAAACACTTAGCTTTATGAATGATGAGGTTTCTGGCAGCCATTGACCCACAGCTGGAGAAACACACGCTGACCTTAAATCGGCCATGTTGACAAAGCTGGAAACTGGAGCGCAAGTGTTGAAACCCAAATTTCACCGTTTACTCTTTGCTTTTTACTTGCAGTGGTAGAAAGTAATTAAGTGCATGTATTAATTAAGCACTGTGCTTCATTACAGTGTTGAGGTAGCTGCACTTTTACGCTACTTTACTCTCTATTTCAGGTGGAAATGTTCTACTTTTAGCTTTAATACATTTACTTTACAATGAATAATATAGCAGGTCATTCTGTTATAACACATTGTTAAAGATTAAACCAGTTATTTTGAGCTTTTTTGGCCTCTGACATCTTACACAGAGCTGTCTGTAGTCGGTGTCACATTTCAGGCATTGATGATTTGCAGATTAGATAGGATCATACTTTATTATTCCCACAGCAGGGAAATTTGCAGTGTTACAATAGCAAAGGGGATTGTGCAAAAATGGCCCCCCAAATTCTGATTTTTTTTTTTCCCTCTGAATGTCTCACATGGTTTCATGTCATCAGATGTTCACTTGGCATGTCACCAACAAACAACTGGAGGAAAGGTCAGACTAGGTGTGCCAGCACTTTTTTTTCTTTCCTCCCACATTAGCATGTGTCAGATTTGTCTGCTGTCCTTGTACATTGAACTGGTTATAAAGTCAAACTGGCTCCACCTGCAGCTTCACTTTTATTAATCTAGTCATGCAATATACAAAATATCATTAAAATGCACCAAACCAGCATTTGAACTTAAATACTTTCACTACATTTTGGCTCTAATATCTAAGGACTTGCACTTAAGTTGGATTTTTAATGCAGGACTTGTAATGGAGTTTTTTTTACATTCCTGATCTAAATGCCTCTTCCACCACATTTAACACGATGTAACAGCACATTTTCTTGCTTATGTTTTTATTTTATTTCAGGGATGCGTGGAATTCCCTTGGAGACATGCCAAAAGAGGAAGCGATGGCAGCCTATGTGGATGAGATGAAACTGGTATGACTTCTTTATTAAATTCTCTCCAGTCCTCTTAAACTCAACCCTTTCTTTATCTGTTGAGGGTTTGACATGAATATTAATATAACTGACGGTGGATTCGGTTCTGTATTTGACGCACAGATCCTGGAGGGCATGCCCATGACTGACGAGGTGGAGGAGTTCTTGCGGGTCTTGGGTCCGTTCTACGAGCTGGTCGACGAGAAGAAAAAGATCACGCAGATATCGGACCTGAGCACAGGTGGGTTTTTTTTTTTTAACTCCCCAGGTGGAATGGAACTCTTGCACCTTGCACTTTGTGATGTTGATAACAGCATGTGGAGCTTAACCTTTTTTTTTTTACAATTTGCCTCCTGTTATGCGCTCAGCACGTTTGACACAGTTTGCTAGGCAACTGGAAGGCAAGTACATTACACTGTGTCAACATTTGGGTCTGGTGCTGTAGTGTAGAATGTGTCCGGTGTTGTAGCTCAGATGCTTTATTGCTTATTAGCAGTTATTTTGTGAATGTTGGCGTTGCAGCTAAGCACTAGTATAGACAGACAAATCCAAACTGTACATCTGCTGAGAAGATTTTCCCCTTTTCTTTATGCGTTTAACCTCAGATACATTCCTCTTTAGTCGCTGAGTTGACTCTTGAAGGAAGCATTGATGTTGAGCATTTATGAGCTTGTGAAATCCAATTTCCTGTGCAGGTTTTGGCACCGCGCTGAATTCAGTGGCTTCAAAGAGCGTCGCAAAGAGCATCGTCAGAAACATGGAAATGAACGGCACCCTGGAGACCCGACCTGCCAGGCTCAAACCAAAGGAAGAAGCACAACAGGAGAACGAGGAGGATATGGACGATGAAGAAGAGGACGAGGAGGATGAAGAAGAAGAAGAAGAAGAAGAAGAAGAAGAAGAGGAGGTAGTGATAAAGGAGGACAAAAAAGGTAATACAGTGATTAAAGCTCCTTTGTGTCCAAGTAGGTGTGAATGAGAGAAAATATTCACCATTCGCTTTTCTTCTTATTTTTTCTTAAATCAGTGGCGTCACAACCAAAGAAGAAGAGCTCGACGAGGAGACACAAAGTGCCCCTGTCGAATGGCAAAGTGACCAACGGGGTCACCCATCTGACAAATGGGAGTCATTCAAGGGCCGCTCTGAACAGTGACGACTCCCAGGAGGGTTTGGTCGGCGAGCCTCTGCTCAACGGACACCACACAGGTAGCAAAACCAGTAGGTTCCACTCTGGTTCACATCTTGTGTTTGTCAGAGTTCAGTTTGGACTTACTGAGGACTTGCTCACACCGACTGCCTGTGCTTGTGTTTCCGTGCACCATGTGATCAGATAATCTGCTAAGCTTCATTCCCAGAGCTGTAACAACTCAGCAGCAGACACCAAATCTTAACACTTTACACATCAGCTGCCCGTGGGACAGTTTTAATGGAGCAAATTAACTGCTCTGTTGAAACCGAGCACAAAGCCCCAAATTAAGTCAACTTCCTCCATCCCACTCTGATAATTACAGTGCAGTTTAATCTTTACAATGCAGCACAAGTCAGAGCTTTTTCTGTTCCATTTGAAGCAACATCAGATCCAAGGGTAGCTGTGTCTGGACCCCATCACGTGGCCAGTGACTCCGACAGCGAAGTCTACTGTGATTCTGTGGACCAGTTCGGTCAAGAAGAGGCGAGTTAAAGCTTAAAACGCACAAATATGAATCTAAATTGGCGAATTGGTCCATCGGTGGCTAATTTCCGTGTGCATCTTCTCCAGTGCTCCGAGCATAACCGCTCCCTGGATGACCTGGACGAAGAGGAGAACCACGTCCTGCTGCCTCTAGAGGAGCAGCAGGAGGACATCGAGGGCGTCAGGTGTGGAGGAGAAGATGGAGATGCAGGTGGAACAATGTCACAGAGACAGAGGCTGAACGTGGACGTGCCAGGCAGCTCTTTGGTCAGAAGAGGACGAGGTATGGTAACACTTAACACGCACCTTGATTTGATTGTGTTTGTGGTTCATAGGATGTTCTGAAAGGGGCAGCCATGTCTTTGTAGCAGCGTTATTGAAAAATGAACAGAAGTTGAACAAATGCACCCTTCGTATTTTAAATCAAAGCTGGCTGCAGTCAGTTTAACATGTTTTTTTCAGGCTGAGAAGTTGGAAAACGTAACCACAAGGAGGCAAAAAAAATCAGTCGGGTTTCAAATAACAAACCTTTAACACCTTCTACTGTCGGCACGGACACATGACTACGTGTCAGTAATGTCAAATGCTGTTATATTTTTAGGTTCCAGGTCTCAGGGCCGCAACTCCGGATCTCTGATGCCCGTGCACAGCAGTGGCGACGGCAACGGGGGCCACTGGGGAGGCACGGCGGCAACCGGCGGGAGCCTGAACGAGCAGATTGTTGTGGCGTTGGCCAGGCTGCAGGAGGACATGCAGAGCGTTCTGGAGAGGCTTCACACGCTGGAGGCTCTCACTGCCAGCCAGGTCAGACCAGTCTGTCCTCCCAGTTTCTACCTTTAGACAGACAACTCAGAGGAGACAAATAACGCTCATAGAAACAGCATATTTGTTAAACAGTGACGGAAAACACTGAAGTCATCCAGTTGTTTGGTGGAAGGTGACTGAGATAGAAACTGCTCAAAAAAAATCTGGTTTTAGGCAGTCATGCAAAAAAGAAATTTGTTCATTTTACTGCCTCAAATGTGAATAATTTCTTCTTTTGGGTTTGTGACCTGACAAAGTGAGAATGTTAAATATGAGCTGGACGAAATTCTAACGCTGAATTTTTAAGGCAAAGTTTCAATAGTTACAGGCTAAACAACCTGAGATAACTTTCTGTGTTTAATAGTAATAAATGTTTTGGTGAAATAAGTAAGAAACTAAATGGAAATTAGGTTAAAATAACTGCAGTGGTATTTGGCTGCAGTCCCTGTCCTAAAATGTAGATGCAGTCTAGTCTTGTTACCATAATTTTATCATTAGTATGTCTTAAAAAAAAAAACATGTAGGGAAGCAGTGTCTGTCTCAAATTACCTAGATGAAACCGCTTTGGCATATCTAAGTCAGGATGTTATTTATAAATAAATATGGGAGGATAGAAAGTCATTGTCTTCATTCGTGAATAACTGGTCCAACATGTCAGAGTATGTAAAAATGAACACGGTTATGTTTTCAGTGTGTAGACGAGACTTTTTAAAAGAAGATAAGGACCTCGTACTTTGGTTCTGTAAACAGCACAGGAGGGCCGGTGAGACGTTCGGTGTGTTTACCTTGATGTTGGACAAAATTTAACTTTTTTTTTCTTTTTCTTTTTGCAGGCGAGATCAGTGGCTCTGTCTCCTACTTACGTATCACCCCCTCTTCACAAGAAGAGTCAGGTAAACAGCTAAGAGGATGCTGTGCTTTGCTGTCCTTGTTTAGGAAATTAAGCATTTAATTGGCCATAGATTGTATTCGTTAGATGAGCTCGGGGTGTAAAAAGTGAAGCTGCAAAATTACTTCAAGCCAATCAGGAGGTGAAAACAACCCGACTTCTCACTTGACTTGTTACCTCATTAAACATTGAGTTGATGGTCTCGATCTCTAGTGTCATAGATTAAATAACAGGACTTGTTTTAGGGTGTGGCGACCTTTTTAATGCTAAGTCACTACCCTGTGGTTATGCAGTGTCCTCTGCGTTTCAGGTAGATCTAGTTTCAAATAACTAACATGGTGATGGGTTTATCCGTCCATCTTTTATAAACATTCTATGGCTTCGGTTAAATTACAGTTTTATGGCCATTGTTGGGGAACTAAAACAGTTTAACTACCACTTTGACAAACCGGTTTCATTCACACTAATGCTAATTCCTCTGTTTTTTTGCCCCCAGAAACCGTCCTGGTGGCCTTTTGACATCTCACCAGCCATTTTGGCCTTCGCTGTTGTATGGCCGTTTGTCGTACAGTGGCTCATCCGCCTATACTTGCAGAGGAGGAGAAGGTATGATTTTACAGCAAAATAAAACCACTGCAGCATGCTGCCATTGTCACGCAATGCCCAAATTCACATGCTTTTTGTTGTTCTTTTAATAGACGAATCAACTGAACCAGCACACACCTGAACACCACACGGGCACAGACGATAACCGGTCCCCTAAACGATTTTTAGCTGGGTTGCTAATGGCTGTAACTCCTCCCTTCCCTTCCCGCTTAGACCCACAGCCCAGTAATTTGCTTTTGCACTACGAAGAAGGCATCTAGAGTGATGAGTGAGAGGAAGAGAGTCTCTCAAGCGCGTTGCACTGTGGATGTGGAATCAAAAAGGAACATGAATGTAAGGGCTCCCGGCCTGCCAGCTTACAACCTTTTTCGAGATGATACCACTGTACTGGAATCTTCTTCTTTTTTTTATCAACTGGTTTGCGTTGAGAGGTAGAAAATCTACAGTTGGAATATTGTCAGTGTGTTCAACTAGTAGCTTCTCAATTAGCTCCATCACTAAGGCTTTGTTGCACAAAAACGGGACTTTGTTGTGGTTTTTTTTTTTGAGCATCAAGCTTGATTAGAAAGTTTTTCACAATTCACTTTGATTAGCTGCCCAGGTAATGCTGCTACAATAAGATGTTGTGATAACTGTAGATTAGAAGTGAGGATTGAATGTATTAATGTACTGATTTGTGAGATTCTGTTTAATTCTAAGTTAATATTTATTGCTTGTAGCGACGGTCACAGTAAAGGCATCGCCGGCCGGATTGCAGCTGCGTAAGTGAGGTTTGCGTTTAAAAAGTGACGGCTAAATGTTGTGCGTAGGTTAGTGAAGGTTCAGGATGTGTTCTCATCACCCGTCCTGCTGCGTATCGGTCTGTGCTTTAACGTCTCGAGCTTCTCACGTCATTGTTTTCCAAATAGAAAAAGTGCCTCAACATCATAAGGTACATTCACATTGCACAAGAGGTGGCATTATTGTTTCTTACATTCACATGTTGTAGCATCACTGTTGCAGTTCTGGACCAAATTTAGCATCGATCATACTACCTAGTGAGCCATGAGGTGGTGAGAATCTTCCACTCAGATATCCCGATTTAATAAACGCATTTTACGCCGCCATGTTTTCTGTTGTATAATTTTAACGTGTGATGTTTGTATGAATATTGTGCAAGATATTTTGTTTGATAGTAATCATGGATTGTTTGCAAAGCAGTGAGCTCTATACAAATTGTAAACAACATATGTACAATACAGATCAAAATGCAATATTTTAATTGCATCCCAGTGTATTATTAATGTAGAATATATCATATTTACAGAGGTTGGCTTCTGCAATAGCACTAATCTTTCCAGAGCCATTATGTTTTAATAAAGAAGCGATAGTTTATCTTTTTACTGAAATGTACTAATGCTTTCACACCCTCTCTGCCTGTGGATAGAGTGGTGTTTGCATGTGATAATCTCAGCCTAAAATAAAGTTTTCACAAAGCGTGCAAGCTTGGCTACATTTCTTTTCAAATAAATTGTTTCATATTTTGGGATATGTTTGGGTTTTGTCCAGAATTTGATAAGAAGGTTGATGTCTGCAGTGTAAATATGTCCAATAGTTGAGCACAAGAAGCTGGAAACGGGGAGAAACAACCAGTCCGGCTAACAAAAGAACTAATCCCACACTGGAAACATTCTGTTTCCAGCCTTTGTTCTGTACGATCCTTGTCCCAGTATGTTGAACTAATTGTTAAACACACTCAAATTTGACTTTATCCAATTCTTCTCAATTTATGGAGAGAAAAAAATGCACCATATGTCATGTTACAAACACATTTTATTTGTATTTTCCCTTTTTCTTGGAGTTAAAATTTCACAAGTAACAAGGTTGAACTAGTAGTGTGGAAAAGTGAAGAGTAATCACATCAAAACTACAAACAGAAATGACATAAAAACATCAAAAACAGTCCTGTTGGAGTATAAAGTAGCCCTCCTGTCGTAAAACTATGATGCTAAATACACATATGAACAAAATTTACACTTAAAATACGTTATTTATGAATATATTAGGATGTTTTTCTTCATTCTACCCCTCAGAGAGAAATTCGAGGGGCCTGCCCACCCAGTCAGCTAACAATGGGGAACATTACAGCAAAAAAAAAAAAGGAGTGTATCTGCATGTAAAGGTAATACAACAACATAATAAAGCAGCAGCAGATAAAGAAGTAGCAAATCCTATTTTGCTAGTAGAAGGACCTAATTTAAGAGACTGACACAGTAACGCTAAAAGACATGTACGTTTGACACTACATACTTGTAACTATCTGGTTTTTATGACCGTGTGGTGATTGCACAAATGTAAAATTTATTCTTTTAAAACATCAGAACCGTGAGCAGAGACTCAATCAGAATCATTACAGTGTTTTTACTTGTATAAAGGATGGTCATTCTGAAAGCAAGTGATGCGAGAACACTGAGAACATTCTCACATCATTAACCGCCAAAATTTATTCAGTGCTACTTTAAAAAAAAAAAAAAAGAACTTATCCAGAGCGTAACTCTACAGACTGAAGCCAGACACGGCAATGTGCTGAGCGTTGTTTCTTGCCTCGAAGTACGAGGTGTCGGTTTCGTCTTCTGGCTGAGGTATGAACGGCATCGGCTGGTTCTGCAGGTTGTCCCAGTCCAGGCCGTCAAACAGGGGATGGCACTTGAGTTCTGCAGGAAACCACAAAACCCATTATTTAAATTCTTGTGGCCCTTTATTTACACTCACTCCTGTCTGGTATGAAATCGAAAGTCAACACGAGCATTTTATGTTCAACTGAACTGCTCACAGCTAAGAAGATGCAAATGATGAAAACTCTTACAGTTTGGATTTAGTTTTGCTGTAGTCTATCCATAACATAAGTCGCATCAGAAAGTGTTATTGGTCGCCAGTCTATCACAGGGCTAGAGACAGACAACCAAGCACACTCACATTCACACCTACGGACAATTTAGAATCACCAATTAACCTCAACATGTTTTTGGACTGTGTGGGAGGAAGCCGGAGAACCCGGAGGGAACCCACGCTGCACGGGGAGAACATGCAAACTCAGCGCAGAAAGATCCCGGGTGTCCTCACCTGCGACCTTCTTGCTGCGAGGCAACGGTGCTAACCACTGAGCCACCTTGCAGCCCATTGGCAGACATGTTGCATCAAAATACTCACACTGCAGCTCTATATCAGGCAAAATTTAATGGTCTGAGAACCAAAATGATCTTTTAAAAATTTGAAATCTGAAAGGCTGGTCCTCACCCTTTAGACCAGCACGCTTTGTCATGTCCATGGTCAGCAGGATTTCAATGGCGTCCCTCGCGTTTACAGACAACTCCTCCTCCCCCTCAGGCCAGGGGATATCTATAATAGTGGAGAACGAGGAGATGAAAGAAGAAGCGTTAAGATTGTGTAATGTTAGGTAAGTTGTTCATGAAATACAGGCTTGACGGATGTATTTTGTGGTTGAGGTTGGGAACAGAAGCCCACCTCTGTTGAGGATATTCTGGAAGACCAGCTGAGGCGTCTCGTCATTGAAAGGCGGCACACCTGTGAGGAACTCGAAAAGACACACACCTAGCGCCCACCAGTCCACCATGCACTCTGAGCGGAGGCAAAAGAGAAAGAACAAAAATCACATTTCATACAGCTGATGGCTTCGAAACACTTCACCTTTCTTTCCCTGTGATTCCTGTTAGAGTGCGCACTAATTGGACTGCAGTGGCAGAAGCAGGTGCTATGTCAGCCTGAGGATGAAGGGATTCAGTTGTGGGGAATTAGCTTTTCATTTATAAATGAAGCACTCAATAACTGAGGAGGATCATTAGGAATTTATTAGCAGATTTCCATTTAGGTCATAACGCGCAAGTATCCGTCGTTATCAACTGTACAAATTCAACTTCTCTCATGTAAATCTGATGTTTCAAAGTTTTGCGTCTCAATAGCTGCAGGGATTTTCTAATTACAATTATCATCACTATCTGTTCCTGAGTTAATAAAAAACCCAGACAGCTGATGAATAAATGCTGCCGCTCAGGATCATTCATGTCAGAGTGCTCATGAATTCAAATCAAGCTACAGTTTGAATTAATAGCAGAGTGTCAGATCAATGGATTATTATTATTAGATGACATTTTGTCAAAAATGATGCAACGTGTCAGGATTACCCAAAAACATGTGGATTTAAGCGCAGGAAGGGAAAAAAAAAACCCCATTTGTCCAGTTAAAAGTACATCAGCCTCAACAAATGTGATTCCCCTGCTGTTAGCTCAGTGTTAAGACCCACTTTTTAAACCTTATTAATCATCACACTCTTAAACCGCCATCCCCTTCCCTCCGATCAGGCCCACAGTTTGCTCACCAATCCACAGGGCAGAAACAGTGGAGGCAGAGGGGGGAATTAAGGGGGAGGGGAGTAAGGAATCAGCTCACTTCCTATAGCGTGTTAGCAGGCTGGGTGAACATGCAACGCTCGCTTGCAAAATACAGTATTGTTATAAACTTACCGCTCTGACCCCTTCCTGAAACTAAAAGAGAATGCCTGTCACAAGAGCTACAGCGTCATGCGTGCTATTTCATCACCACTGCGCGCCACCACTGTGGCACTTTGAATTTCCCTCTCTTACCATGTGGTTTACCCAAAAGCAGCTCTGGAGCCAAATAGTCAGGGGTTCCCAAGATGGGCGCTCCCTCAACGGGCAGCGCACCCCGTCGGACGCTCTTTGGAGTCCTGAAGGGGGTGTGGGAGGTGGACATGGCCTGAGGAGTCTGATGTGAGGGAGGGAATGAAAGGAAATATGAAAAGAAGGCAATATGACACATGCAATCCAGCTGTCTGTTAATGCCAATGTTAAATCAGAATCTCTATGAAGATAATTTTAAAATGAAGCTTCAGAAAACTAGTGACCCTCATCAGGCCAAGGTTTTTTGTATCAACAGAACCCCAAAGATTTCAACCATGCAAGCAGCTCTGTGGCTGCACCCAGTCATAATAACAGACTCACAATGACAAATGTGCTGATGTTGGGCCAATATAATGTTTATCACCATCATAGTTTCACTTTCTCTGATTACCACTAAACACAAAGTACATCTGAGGCTAACTGTAATGTCATTAGTTTTGCAAGTATTTGGTCATAATCCAAAGTAACTTGCACAAGTTAAAATGCTCAGATGATGGCGCTAGATGTTTAGTCAGGGCATCAGCAAGGTCAATACAACTCTGTCAATCCATGAGATATTTAACTAAAAAAACACAGAGGTGTTTACCACATGGTGGTGCTAGAACAATTCAAGACCGTAAATGTTTGCACAAAGCTTCAGGGCAATGCTTCCACCTAAAGAGACTCTGTAGAATTTACTGTATTTTAAGTGTTAATGTCAAACAACAAGACTGTAAATAACATTTAGTGTTCGTATAAAGATGCACCACTAGCCTGCAGTTATCATCAACAGCTGGACAAACAATGATTATTGCCACTGCTGATTAATATATTGATTATTTTCTTGATTAATCGATTCCTTGCTTGGTGAAAAGTGTCGATGGGTGTCTTGTTTTGTCTACTTTTAGGTTTACGGTCATTGAGGAGTAAATAAACCAGAAATGTTTCACATTTAAGAAACTGGAATTGGAGATTTTTGCAGCTTTTTCTTTAAAAAAAAAATTACTCAATCCAGTTAATTAACTGTCAGAATAGTTGATGATTAACTGAATTGTTGACAACTACTCTATGAATCTTTGCAGCTCTGTTAAAGAGTAAGAATAATACATCTTTGAAATGTACGTACTTGAGCCAAAGAGCTGTTGGAGCTGGGTCTTTTCTGCACTGGTGTCACAGTGCCAGAGTGATAAGAAGCAGCTATGGACGTGTCCATCGCCTCCACGGATCCGAGGCTGAGCCGAGACACCCCCGACATGTTGGAGCGGTTAATGGAGCTGCAGTAGCTGCGGAAAGCTACGACATTTCGAGGCTTGAGAAAAAAGGGGGACCGTGCCGCACCGAAAGACAGGTCGGGGAGTCGATTGAAAAAAGAACACTGGGATTCACTTCTTTGCCCCAAGTGATCCAGTTTAGGTGTTACATTAGTGGTAACAGGGGTTTGTGGGAGTGACTCAGTTATGGATGTGTCTTTATTCTCCTCTTGTTCTTCAGGTGAACTCCTGTTCCTGGAAGGCTTGCTCAGCTGGAAAGATGCGTGGCCGTCAAAAGGGAGAGAAGTTTCATGCATAGACCCGTCAGAGTCGAGGCTCAAGCTCCTGCAAATGTTGCTTTTCCCAGGTGTTGTGAAGCTGGAATGTGACAAGTCTTTGGCTGCATCTTCGAACACGTCCTCCGCCGGCTCTTCCAGTTCACAAAACAGACTTTTGGTTATGGCGATGGGACTGGAGCGCTTTGGGATCCAGTGTTCAGCTCCCCCGATCCCCTCAGTGAAGTCGCCTATTTGGATGGTGGAGAACGTTCCAGTCAGGCCGGTGTGAAACCTCATAGTCTCCTCTGGAATCTCGTAGAACCTTTTGTAGTCTGCGTTTCTTTTCTTGCTTCTCACTTGCTGTTGCTCTGGACTTATTTCTACGTCTGAAAATGTTCTCTTCACAGACAGAGGAGCTGCAGGTTGACAGTTTCTCGTTGATAGAGAAATGTTTTCAGGAGATGTGCAGACAGACTCCAGTTTGTTGGTTTGAGACATTTTTTCTGCAGGATGATCTTGACTTGACTTTTTTGACAAACTGCTTGTGGCTTTAGCAGAGAAGCCAAAGGTGCCCAGTTTTGTGGGTTCACAGTCCTGTTCAGGTGCTTTGGACTCAGACTGGCCTCTGCCCTTCTGCTCATTGATGCGTTCATTTTCTTTCTATACATGAAAGTAAAAAGGAAAACAGTCACAACAAGCAATGAACTAATCTCAACAGTCGGTATTAGAAATGACAAAGATATTTATTTTCAATAGGATAAAAGAGTCAAACTGTGAAAAATAAAATAACTTAACTTAATACATTAAAATTGACTTAAATTAAGATTTAAAGCAAGAAAAGTTGGTCAGGAAACTCCTACTCATTATTTAAAGAGCCCGAATTAAGCACCCAGGTTTGTTATTGTATTTTGGGGGGCTAGTAGGATATATTTACATGCTTTAATGGTCAAACAATGTATTATTTTTTTTTCATATTGTACATTGCTGCAGCACCTCTTTTCACCCTCTGTTTAAAATTCTCTGTTTCAGCTCCTTTATCTTTAAGGCCTTTCTCCCAAAAAGCCCAGATTGCTCTGATTGGTCAGCTTGCAACCCCAAGGTTCTCGATTATAGGGATATATCTCAAACAAAGAAATAATGATAGACTGCAAGAAAGCTGCTCATTCTTGTTGGTGTGCAAACTAGCTGATAGGAAGTGTTTTATACAAGTAACGGAAGAAAAGCCTGGACTTCAAACAAGGCGTTTCAGGCAGGAACAGAGCAGCGTTTTCTATGGGAGAGAACTACGTTTGCAGACCAAAAAAGCTATAACACACTAAAGAAAAGTGAAACACCCAAATATATTTAAAAAACACATTATGAGGTCTTTAAAGTAAAAAAATATGCAATCACTGACCTCCTCACACTCCCACAGTGGACTGATGCCTCCTTCAGTGTCGGTGGTGCTGCCTGCACTCATCGTCTCAAACCTCTTTCTGGACTTCATCAGTGTGGGAGTCAGATTTTTTGCCAGTTTATGAGGACTAAACACACTACCGTTAGGTCCTATGAAGACCAAACAGATAATATAAAAATGATAATCAACACATATTTTCCTAGCCAGGATCTCATGAGCATCTATATTTGCTTTTTTTTTTTTCAAACATAAATGATTAAACAGTCCTTGCATAATCAGTCATTCCACATGATAAATGAATGAAAGAAAAAGTCAGGAGGCTAGCTCATGGAAATGTACCATGACATACCCAATCTCCAAGGGCAGCCAGCTGCAGAATACAGCTGATCTTTTTTCTTCATCAAAGGAGAACCAAGAGAGCTATTCTTCTGTTTTATTTTGCCACAGGACATGGGGCTGGACACAGCAGACGCACTGCAGTGACGCTTGCCTTCTCCTGCAGGTGTATTCTGTATGTAATAAAATGAAGGAAGAGTCATTAGGTAACAAAAACTATGCATGAAGCATCTAAATTGGAGAACTCTTCATGTCAAATTTGATCAATTCACTTACAAATCCAAGGGAGCTGATTAAGGAGAGGACCTGACCCGGAGTGCGGAAGTAATCTTTTGTTGGTTTAGCCAAGGATGGGGTAGTTAGGATGTCCATTAGACTCAGCTCTGATACAGAAAGCACAAAGATGAAATAAAAGAAATATTATTGATAGTGTTGATGGTCACAGTTTGTTTAAGTGTTAAACTGATGGGACTTTATACCTCTGTCAAGTTTGACTTTAGAAAGGCCAAAGTCTGTCAGTTTGATGTGACCTTCATTGGATATAAGCATGTTGTCTGGCTTCAGGTCCCTGAAAAGTAATAGTTTCAATAAATATGAGGTCACACAGTAAAGACTGATCAGCTTTCGCTATACATATTTAATGACACACGAATAATTTCAAGGGTTATTGAAGTACCTGTGGATAATACGATGGCGGTGGAGGTAGTCTAAAGCCAGTGCAACCTCTGAGATGTATTTCACAGCCATGTCCTGGTCAAAATAACCATAGATATGAAGGAGAGATTTGACATCTCCACCAATGAGGTATTCCATTACCTGCAAGCAGCAAGCAAATGAAGATTAGCTGTCGGTATTAGTGGAAAAAGTAATCAGATCCTTTACTTATGTAAAAGCACCAAAAGTTTAATTCAGCACACTCCATTGCAAGTTGAATGAAAAATCTTACTTAACTAAAAGTACTTGCAGCAAAATATACCTGGAGGATTAAAGCGACGAAACCAGTTTGGTTGCTCTCACTGATAATAATACATTTGGCATAATTAGATAAATATTGTAGAGTTCAGGATTCAGTGTGTAATAAATAGAAGCATGTGACGGAGCATTACTGAATTAGATATCTACAAAAGCCTGGCTGTCACACATTATACACATTATAATTTAGAAAATCATTGACATGACAGCTCAAATACGGCATAACGTACATCCTAACTGCAGCGTTTGCCAATTGCATCATTTCAAATGACTATACTGATTAAAATCTGAATAATTGTTTGTTTCTATTTCCTTTACATACATAAAAACATTGCCAGCATAGATTGAAGCAGAAATGGAACAAATTGGTTCATAAAAATTCACTAGAATGCAGGAAATTAAGTGTCTGAAGCCAAAAACTTCCTCAGCGTGGACATTCAGACCTGTGCCTAAACTAAACCATGTGAACTTTAGGGGGAAAAAAACTCATCGGCATCTGAATTGAGGCCCTGGCTACACACTGCTTTTTAGAAGGTGTCAGACAACAAAGAGGTTAAAAACAACTGATTTAATCTTTAACACTGTGTTGTATTATTAAAACTTGATTTAAAATCCACATAAAAGTAACTAAAGCTGTCACAGATCGTTGTAGTGGAATAGAAAGTGCATGTGTCCAACTGAAATGTGGTGTAGTGGGAGTATAACATTGCATAAAACGGAAAAAACTAAGTACAAGTAACTCAAAACTGTACTTAAGTAAATGTACTTAGTAACTTTACAGCACTTTTCTATATAAATACAAATTTCACATATACGATTATTTAGTGTTCTTGGTTCAAGTGTATTTTCTTAATCATTTGGTGTTTACCAGATAAATCTTGGTGACCGTCTGCAGGGAGTAAAACAGGTGAACCACGAAGGGGCTCTTGCTCAGAGCCAGTGCATCTCTCTCTGCCTTCATCTGGCCCGTCATGTTTTTATCAACCATGTCTGCCTTCTTCATCACCTACGAGAAAACGTGTATAAATTCAACTAAGACAGTGTTCTGTTTATTCATTCCGATTCAGTCAAAGATTTAACTGACCCACCTTAATAGCATATAACCGTGCATTGCACTTCTTCCGTGCCAGGTAGACCTTGCCAAAAGCACCGCGGCTGATGGGCTTCAAAACGACAAAATCCTCGATGGAAGGCGGTTTAGGAACCTCCACCGATCTCTCGTTTGTACTCGAGTTGTGCTTTTCATCTGCGTCCATTATTTACCTGCTTCAAAATAGGAGTTTGGTTGTGTCTTCCACAGCCAACTAGCTCGAAGTAAACAGTCGCATGACAAAACAACAGTACTGGGTTTGTTTTGAAATTTTGAATTCCGCTGCTCTTTCGCGGGGTCCTCAGACGCCGATTTAGTAGGCAAAGGTGCGCCTGTATGGTTGCGAAGCGTAAAATTAGCTTCGCGTATGCCATATTAAGGGTTAGTTATTCATTTTAGCTGTAAAACTAGCAGATATATTATCATTTTCAAATGTATCTTAGCTAGTGGAGCGATATTTATATGTTACTTTTTTTATTTTGATCAGGCACTAAAGAAACATATGAAAAGTAAATATAGAAATTGTGTAACAACAGCCACGCTATTTAATATCTACGTGGTACGTTTTTTGGTAAATAAAGTACATTTATTTCCCCGTGACATATTATTCACATTTTTACATTTACATTTAATAAAACTAAGGCTTTAGCTCCACAAGTGATGAAATGACGCAAACGGTACCCGGTAGTAATTCAATTTTGCGTCATTTTGTAGTCCTTTTGACCCTTAGATGCCGGAGAATCCATTTGCCGTTATTAGATAAGCTGCTGAAAAAGTTGTGTAACAAGGAAAACAAAAGGACACCGCTGCCAGGAGGACTCGCTCACTTACAATATATAGAGGGTCTGTCCTCACACACCAACCCTCCAAGTCCCGATTTTGAATTATCTTTCGGCAAAAATGTTTTCACTGTCGACGTCGTTTCAGCCACAGCAGGTAAGCCGACTAGCTAACAGCTTGCTGACTTGGCTAGCTTGTGTGTATGTTCGCCTGACAACGTATATGTGTTGTTGGTATAAAGTTAACGTTGCATGGGAATAACTATTACGAGAGTTATAGCAAACAGTGGCTCTATCTGTCGTTTTGTTTATGTCATGTCTTTTCTTTCGCTCAATGACACGCTAGCTCGGCTACTGTTAGCATCAGCATGTCAACGCTTTATTACTTCGGTATCAGCCCACGCTTACGTCACGCTGTTTTAGTGGGACCGACCAGCGTGCTACGTGCGGTTTCACGACTTTAACATCTGATATGCCAAGGAAGAGCTCGGCTAAAAGTACATTAAAGAAAATGTGCCAACTTCACAGAGTCGAGGTTACATAACGCCCATACATCTGACGTATGTCGGACATACTGCTCTCTGTGTTTGCCGGAGAGGAGCCGAGACTCAGCTTGAATAACACTGACATAACAGTCCTGACCCACTGTCCCGTGTGGAGGACTCTGCCAAGATCCAGCAGATCTTAAATAGTTTTATAGCATTTCCCAGCGATTGTCAGATGCCTGTAATGAATGTGAGGTTGTACATATAACCATGTGTTGACTATTCTTGCTTCTTCTCCTCTGTTTGTGTGTCTGCCAGATGATAGTGCCTCTCAGCCAGCTCCTCAATGCCCTCCACTCCCTGAAGAACTCAGCCACAGCTTCAGTCCAGGCCCTTCACAAAGACTTCACCCCGGAGCACAATTCATTTCTAAAAGAGGTGAGATGGACACCACGGAGCATGATTAGGGGATTCTGTGAAGGTCATGTTTTCAAAGGCCTCTTCCTTCTCTTAATATTTTATTTTATTTTAGAATATTATCTTTGTTTTGTATTATTTTATACTGATTGATTTTATAAGATTTATCATGTGTTCTGTCTTGCTCTTTTTTTTTTCTTCTTGTTGCCTGTCTCATAACATGTACTTTGGTCAGCTCAGGTTGTTTTAACACTTGTTGTATAAATAAATTTGGTTTGATTAGATAATAACAGATTGTACTGAGTGATGGTTACATTGGATCTGGCACCAATCGCGTCATGGAATTAGTTTGACGTCAATTTTATCACCGTGGGAGATGCCTTTAGAAGCTCACAGTACAGACAAAGTTTGATTGAAAATTGAATCTCTACTAAAGCAGTTATAAATGCATTTTTTTAAAATTGAGGTTTACCACACAAAAAAAACATTCATGTCTGTCTTCAAGATTTTTTTAAAAACATTATCACGCTTCAAACTGTACTGTTAATTGTCTTCCAATCTTCACTAGCCAAGAAGTGTGTTTAAAATTCACTAGTGCATGACAAGGTGCCTATTTCATGTTCACAAACAGTTCTGTATGTGCCAGAGTACAGCATGTACTCAGATATACTCTGGAATATCTGTTTATCTGTCTGTGTCTGTGAAAAAGTGAGTGAAACAGTAATACATCACTGCTTTTTTTAGGAGCCACATGCCCACTTGTGGGTAATTATTACCATAACAAAAGTCTTACGAAAGTGTAAACAACCTACTTTTGCTCTGCTTTCTTTAAAGCCCAGTGTCAGTCTGAGGGATCTGGGATTGTCAGAGGTCAGAGTGAGTCAGCTGGATGAGCTCATCAGCAGGTTACTGCCTATACCGGGACCAGAAGAACCGCCCACTGTTCCATCGTCATGGAGGACCAGTCACGTTTCTGCAGACAGCTTTTTTCACAACAAGCATGGTGAGCAGCTTTTGCACATCCCACTTTTATTGGATTGCGCTAATTTTGGTGCAAAGAAACTATTGTAAAACAGACCTTGAGTTTTTAATTTTGTTGTGCTGTTTGTCCCAAAGGGTTTTCACACAGAAGGATGGGAGTTTTCGGCTCACCAGTATTCCACAGACAATACCACAGCCCTCTAAAAGAAGTTTGCTCACAACTACAGTTTTTGCCTTGTAAGAAAGAAATCGGAGTAAAATACTTGCTATGAAGGACTTGAAATGTAGCGTTGTGTTTCATGTATTTTCACCTGTTTGTGCCTGTAGTACGGGTCCAGAGTCGGGGTTTTAAGACACTTAGATCAAGGACCAGACGAACGGAGTCTACTTATGATGGTCCAGTGGAATCTGAGGCCTTCACACCAGCATTCATGAAGGTATGCTTGTTAGTATAATTAGTGTAATAGTGTTACTAGTACCTTAATAAAGCATACATTGGCTGCTTATTCAAACACAAGTTACATGTTTACCGTAGTATCAATCTTTACTTCTGAGACACTTCACACATGCCCTAATCTTGACCTTTCTACATAACTGCAATTTGATATCAGACATAAGACGTTAATCCCCTGTGTGGAGCAGACAGTTTGGGCTTAAGAAGCAGATTTACTAAAACGGCTTTGTGTCCGTTACAGGTATTGCTCACGAAGGAAAAAGCACCAGAAGCGCAGTCGCTGGACCAAGTCATGGCACAAAAGAACCTTCCAGAAAACCAGCAGGAGGCTTTCAAGACGGGTTTCACCGAGGGGTTCATGAGGTCTCAGGCCTTCACTCAGAGAACACAAGGCATGTGGGCACGACAATTATTACTAGAAAGCAAACACGAGTATATAATTGAAGCATTCCTTGGTGTTCAGTGTTACAGTGGCACCTGTTTTCTTTGGATGGCACTGCTGGGTTGAATACAGAAAGGCATGACCTAAAGCTAACTTTGTCTCCACTCTGTTTTGACAGACTCACTGAGGAGAACCAGGTTGATCCTGCTGGTCCTCCTACTTGTTGGCATTTATGGCCTGTCCAGAACCCCATTTCTCTCGGGTAAAGGCTCCTTTTCTGATGCTGGTTTGTTTCAGTTTTAATTCTTTCCTATGCTCATGAATCGAATCACAACCCTACATGCACACTGCAATTAGAACAAAAATAAAATAACTGTTTACGCTGGAGTCTATTTTCAGCTTCAATATTTTAGGTAATATATTTTAGTGTGTCATTAGGCTGGTTAACTGACAAAATAGGTAACAAATCCTAATATGTCTCCCATAGTGTGCATGTAGAGTTTGACTGATTATGTTGGTGCATACTACTGTGTACTAATATCTTAATCTCTATAATTATTTATATTTTCATGACCGTGCTGGAGCTTTATGAATAGCTGGAAGCACTAAGTGTGGGAAAGCAGCATAAATTTGGATCTTCATATTTACATGTGTACCACAGTAAGCACATGGTAACCAGCAGTTATATTGTCTGTCATCATGAGATACTGTAGAGAAATCCTGTACTGAACAGACTGTTTTGGGATTTCGCAGTGAGGTTCCGCACTACATCTGGCCTCGACTCGGCGGTTGACCCCATCCAGATGAAGAATGTGACATTTGAGCACGTCAAAGGAGTGGAGGAGGCAAAGAACGAATTACAAGATGTCGTCGAGTTTCTCAAAAACCCACAGAAGTTCACTGTTCTGGGTGGAAAGCTGCCTAAAGGTACTACTTGTTTTATATCCTTTGTTTTCTCTGTCCATGAAAATAGGATAACAAAGTCACTTAATAAAATCCAGTGTTATTTTATCCTAATTTGTTTCCTCTTCTGTCTCCTCAGGGATCCTTCTCGTTGGTCCACCAGGAACAGGAAAGACTCTGCTAGCGCGAGCTGTGGCCGGAGAGGCAGACGTTCCTTTCTACTACGCCTCCGGATCAGAGTTTGATGAGATGTTTGTGGGCGTTGGTGCGAGCCGAATCAGGAACCTTTTCAGTAAGTTTGCTGTGTGCAAGAAAATGTGTGTAACCAGTTAAAGATGTACACACAAAAAAACTACAATCTGTCTCTTTTTTTATGGTTTTGCAGAGGAGGCAAAAGCTAACGCTCCCTGTGTGATCTTCATTGATGAGCTGGACAGCGTGGGTGGAAAGAGGATCGAGTCTCCAATGCATCCGTACTCCAGACAGACCATCAACCAGCTGCTGGCTGAAATGGATGGGTCAGTTTTTACTTAAACTGAATAGTGTGAATACAATAATGCTGCTGAGAACTTCCACTTACTGTTGTGAATGTTTTGATGTTTTACAGATTTAAACCCAATGAAGGTGTCATTGTCATTGGTGCTACAAACTTTGCTGAAGCTCTGGATAAGTATGTTTATATTTCAAATTGTTACCTCTTTTACATATAAATTACTTCAGTATGAAAAGCTGTTGCTGAAAAAACAGTTAAACATTCTAAAGGGTATCAACAGGTCTGAAATATTTAAAGTCATAGTTAATGTATACGGAACTGTTCCATTTTTTTACTTCCCATTTTGTACCTTTGTCTTTTGTGGAGGAGCATTCATTTGACAGACATTAGTAGTAGGCATTATTGGTTTAGATATGGCAGTTTTACATTTCAAATGTTTTATTTTTAAGTAATTAAACACAACTCCTACGTATGTGACCTTTGAATCTTAATAACCGCTGCATTGCTACCACTTTCCAGCGCCCTCGTGAGGCCGGGGAGGTTCGACATGCAGGTGACGGTCCCTCGCCCAGATGTGAAAGGACGCACCGAAATTCTCAACTGGTACCTCTCCAAGATCAAAGTAGACCCTGGTAGGTCTCAGTTTAAAACATGGACAAATTTATGGATATTTCTAGTTAATATTTTGTTGTTTTGTTAGCATTTCAGAGGAAATTTAAGATCCGATATTAGTGAGAAAATCCAGCACATTCTCCTTATCAGTTCAAACTGAGCCCTAGAGAGCACCTTTTCTTTTGAGTTTCTAAGGGCACCATTGTTTGTGATCGCCCTCTTAGAGACACTGTGTTTGCTCTTTCACAGCCATCGATGCAGAGATTATTGCCCGAGGCACAGTGGGCTTCTCCGGGGCAGAGCTTGAGAACTTGGTCAACCAGGCAGCCCTGAAGGCGGCAGTGGACGAGAAAGAGTTGGTCACAATGAAGGAGCTGGAGTTCGCTAAGGACAAAATCATCATGGGTGAATACACACAGGGCTTAGATCTGCTCCGCGGCCTTTCGCCACATATCACATGAGACAGATCACCTATACAGCAGGAGATACATGAACAGACAGTTTTAATCACTTATTTTTATGTGTTTCTTTCTCATGCCAGGCCCCGAGAGACGAAGCGTTGAAATAGACAAGAAGAACAAGACCATCACCGCGTACCATGAGTCCGGCCATGCCATCGTTGCCTATTACACCAAAGATGCAATGCCCATCAATAAGGCTACTATCATGCCTAGAGGACCAACTCTTGGCCATGTGAGCTCCTGCTGTGGTTTCACAACATCTATTCCTTAAGCTGTTTGTATCAGCTCTCGATTCTAAAACACATCTGTCCTTGTCTCTTGTCTTCTAGGTGTCCATGCTCCCAGAGAACGACCGCTGGAGCGAGACGCGAGCCCAGCTGCTGGCTCAGATGGACGTCAGTATGGGCGGCCGAGTAGCAGAAGAGCTCATCTTTGGAGACGATTACATCACCACTGGTGAGGGATTCAGAAGAAGTGATTTAGTCTTTTGGAGCTGTCAGTACTGAAGTGCTGTTTGAAATACTTCACAACGCTGAAACGCTTTAGCTGTGATGGCTATTGTATGATAATTACAAGTTAAAGTTCCACAGCAGTGTATGTTCTTCTAGTAACATTACAAAACCAAATTGTGGGATCAAAGAGTTTTAGTTTTGTATCCTGTAGCTTTTATTGCTATCAAATAATACTTTGTTCAGAATTGTGATGAACTCAGAACTGCATTATTGTGTTATAATATTACAGTACATTTCTGACAGTGTTGACTGCTACAGAAGTGCATCAGCTTCACGTTATAACAAGCTGTTTATGTTATATCAAGATATTTTCATGTTATTACATACAAACGAGCTTCTACCAAGACATTTGACTTGTTACATCAATATACTGTTTGTCTTGTTAAAATCGTGCAAGGTTTACCTTATAACAAGATAACTTAGATTGTTATAACATGAAACTCACTTTTCAGTGAGGAAACAGTGCAGAGAAGAGATAAACTGAAGAATATAGTCTGTATGTGATTTGTTTGCCTGAGCTGATACATGCTGAGATTCTGTGTTATTAAGTACACTGATCATTGATCAGCTGAAGGAGCACTGAAGGTTACATGGATAAATGACTTATAAAAATATCATCTATCATGCTCAAGAATAGCAAGATGTCACCACGTTTCAACCCAGGCATGATGTAGAACTTAAGCAATCATGGAAATGATCAATTTTCCTCAATTTATCAGTTCTCTGCATTATTACAGCATCAGTTCTCACCTTATAAAGCAACAGGTTTCACATTATAACAAGATGAATAGCATACTGTTATAACAAGCACGATAAAGTGTTACTTCATCCTTTTACAATATGAAAAACATGTTATTATTGCAAATACTTTTCATTTTGTAATATGAAATTGAGCCGTTTCACATCATCTGGTTTGGCAGCAATACGTTTCCTGTGCTACTGTATGCTGGGATTATTTGACATGCAGCCTGAGTTTCAATCTCATCCTTCTGTTGTGCGTTTCAGGAGCCTCCAGCGACTTCGATGGTGCAACCAAAATAGCAAAAATGATGGTGACCAGGTTCGGCATGAGTGACAAGGTAAAAACTTTAATTTGTGTTAGATGATTGTAGGTTGTGGTTCCCAACAGCATAGAACACAGTTGTTGTTTTTCCACTGAACAGAGCTGTTATGAGGCTTTAACTGTATACATTGCTGCAAATCAGCATCAGAGTTAAGACAACCTGAAAACTGAAGAGTCCTCTACCATTGCTCTATAATTACACAAAACACTATGAGAAGCTCTTTGTAACCCGTCACAGTTTGTAATGATTAGTGGCTATTTCATGACAAAGCCTCATTGTTTATTCAACCTGAGGATGTAATTTGTGTTTTGCTTGCAGCTCGGTGTCATGACCTACGGAGACGTATCCAAGCAGAGCCCCGAGACACAAGCAGCCATTGAGCAGGAGGTCAGGGTTTTGCTGAAGGTGAGCACATCACAATTTCACCTTGTTTGATTTACAAATATAGAAACGTGGGTTATTCGTACCATCTCATTTCTGATTCTCTTCCTTCCAGGACTCGTACGAACGTGCTAAAAACATCCTGAAGACTTACAGCAGCGAGCACAAGAAGCTAGCCGACGCTCTGCTCACGTATGAAACTCTGGATGCCAAAGAGATCCAGATGGTGCTGGAGGGGAAATCGCTGGACCACTAGATACCTCAGTACACGTTTTAGACTCTTGAATCATGTATATATGAAGCTGTGCAATCGAGCACAGGCCTTTCGGAGGCCTTGTATTTCATTTCTTTGTATCCCTCTCGTCGTCAATGTGAAGATGAGACTCAAAACGATTCTTTCGTCCCTTGTATACATTTTTACTTTATCATTTTACAGTTTCCTGTAGAGAGGACGGTCGGATTCGCAGTGATTTTTAAAAGCATTTCCCAGTTTAACTGGATGAAAAGTAAAACACCTGCTCTCCACATGATGCTCCATTAAGGGCTTGCTGTGCTACCCTCTCATGACAAACGACCTTGTTGTTGTATACATCAGAGCCATATTTGGTATGAATTTGACAAATCATATTGAGTCTCAGATTGTTCACAAACAACCCGGTGAACACCATAGGACCTTAAAGTACCTCGATCTAGAATGTACCGTTTGGCCGTAGCAAGGTACAGGTGATACCGCTGTTCATTATTGAACTCCTCATATTAGAGTTTTTTCTCTAAAGGATGTGTTGCATTTATCACATGCTATCTATTTTTGTTTGTTTTTATTTATTTAAGTGCCCACAGGTGTGTCCTTTCTGTTTTTCTTTTGAGAGTAGAGCTAGGTCCTCATGTCCTACTGTATCCGATAGAGGAGAGGAGATGTGTATATACTGTAAGCGTATAAAAGGATTGGCTTGGTGCTTCTGTTTGTTCCTTTAGATCAAGGCCTTCTTGAAGCTCAAATAAAGATTACTCTTGTGAATCAATCTTGTGATCGTGACTCAAATGAGACCTACACTTGCATTATTTTACACTGCAACAAGCTATAAAGGCAGCATTAGCATATTAGCACCTGATAAAATGTGAAAAAAAAGCAATTAGCTATTGATGCATCAACCAGTTAAAGTCTTTGTTATGAGTCTTTGCCCACTCCTAAGCACAATGTGCATCCTTAACTTACCTACAAATGCTACACTATATAATCTAGCTAATTTTGTCAGTTTATTTTTTCGGTGCAAGACAGGTAAGAGTGTGTTGTTTTTTGCAGTTACCTGCTTCAGTTGAAATGAAAGTTGACAGAGTGGAAATGAATGAAAGTCAAACCTGTAGCATGGCTGACAGGCACTAAACGGCACCATTTCTGATATTTTGTGCATATGATAGTGTCTGAAATAATTTAAAGTGATTGATTTCAACCCTAATAATCGTGTTAGCTGCTGCCAGGAAATGCTGATTCCTTATTTGCCGTCTCCAGTTGTTCTTTATCACATTAAATACCACATTGGTGCAATCCGACCCACTGTAACTATCCTTCTCTAGGAGCATCTGTACCATACAGGCATCATTCACAAGCAGATTCTTACCTTTTGTCAGTCTACAAACAAGAACAAAAGCTTATTTACTGCAGCCTTTGAATGATCTTAACCTGCGATTAGTGTGTTTAGTTCCAGATGAGATGCAATAAGCCGAGACATTGTCCCTTTGTCTCGTTTCTTTGAGCTGGCACAGTGTTTATAAAGAGCTGTGACCAGTTCAGACCAATGCTTTAAGCTCTGCTATGAAGACACTTGAAGTTTCACACTGGCTCCTGGAATACAGCAGCCAGAGCAGCTTCACTATCATCCCATAGGAAGGATGGAGGACGCTGAAGATGACATAGCTGTTATCGGGATTGGATGCAATTTTCCTGGAGGTATGGCGCTTGATTTTGGCACTTTTGCAAGCAGTTGTCGTAAATTAAAGGTAAATTCCAGCTGTTATGGTTTGTTTTAATATAGGTGAGGGGTTGGAGAGTTTCTGGAGGGTTCTGCTGGAGGGGAAGAACTGTGTGGTGGACATCCCAGCAGAGAGGTTTGACACCACTGTTTGGTATGATTCTGATGATAGCAAACCTGGGAAGACGCAGACAACCAAAGCAGCTCTGATAGAAGGGTGAGGATTATATTTTATATCAGTTATTTTCTTCTCTTTATGGACGTTTCAGCTATAGTGGATCTGCTTTGTTTTTATATTTTAGGTTTAATGAGTTCGATCACAAGTTTTTCGGTATTACTGAAGTGGAGGCAGATTCTATGGACCCCCAGCAGAAACTCCTTCTGCAGTGCACGTACAGGGCCTTAGAAGATGCAGGAATTGCTACGGAAAGCATCAGTGGAAGCAGAACCGGCGTCTACATAGGTACACTTTGTTGCATCTAAAATCCCAAGCATAATATCAAGTTGTAACCTGCCTTGATTGTGGTGCTGCAGGTCTCATGAACAGAGATTACGAGATGCTCAGAAACAACAACCCCAGCTCGATAACCCACTACAACGGCACCGGGACGGCCATGAGTGTTGCCGCCAACAGAATTTCCTTCACCTTTAATCTCACCGGCCCTTCTTTTGCCATCGACAGCGCCTGTTCCTCATCTTTGGTGGCGCTGCATGTCGCCTGTCAGGCTATAAAGCAAGGTGGTAGTTCTGTTTGCCTCAAAGAAAGGTAAATATTGCATGATATTAGAAAAGTTCTTATTACGTTGCTTCTCTTTGAACTAGGAGACTGTGAGATGGCGCTATGTGGAGGCGTTAACTGCATAATCGAGCCGAGGATGTTTGTCGCTCTCAGCAAGGCCAAGATGATCTCGCCCGGAGGATCGAGCAAGCCTTTCTCCAGCAGAGCAGACGGCTACGGCAGAGGAGAGGGCTGTGGTGTGGTGCTCCTGAAGCCTCTGAGAAATGTAGGTGGATTATAACTATGTGGGAATGTTCAAACCTGACATACTTTTGAGTACTTTTTCTCCTTTCAGAGGGATGTATTACACTTTTTTTCACTTCCCTTCACACATCTGAGAACTTTAATTACTTTACAAATTCAGATTTTTGCATACAAAGCATATGAAGAGATGATAAAATATGTTTTGTTATTAATTAACCCATTCCAATTTCCAGTCGATCAGATTTTTTTGTTCAGAGTAATAGAATGTACCACAAAGAAATAGAAAAGTTCCAAAGAAAAACAAACAAAAAAAAACAATTAAAAACCCCATCCCACCGGCTATATCAATCCCCATTAACATTACGTTATAAATGAAGGGTTCAGTGTAAACAGGACACAGGAACTAATGGTATATTATCAGAATAAATGCAATCAGGAAACATGGGATTTTTTTCAAAATTCTTTATGAAACCTTTAAAAATTAAGTGACAAAACACAGATAAATAAATAAATAAATAGACAAACCTTAAAAAGAAAAATACCACAGCAACAACATAAATAAATTATAAATATAAATAATAATAGAACTGATTAAAAGCCAGACTAAAATCGCAGGTAATTAATCAATACAAAATGATTTTGCGAACTATTTAAGTAATTTTTCATGTTTCAGCTTCTCATATGTGAAGATTTTCTTCCTTTAATTTGAAATACTTTAATAATTGCAGTGTGTTTTTAATACATTTGAAGTTTGGATGGTTTTTTCGGACATAGTGAAGGTGTTACTGTTGGCTCTGGTTAATTGTGACAGCATTTCTTATATGACAGTTTTTCTATGTGTGGCCTAAAGGGGGCAGTGCTGGTTGTAAAGTCTGACAGCAGCATGAACTATATGATGGTGTAACAGTCACAGAGGGATGTATTTCTGCATTTATTATTTTTACTTTAATACTTTAAGTTCATTTTCCTGATTATAGTTACATACCTTTACTTATAGTAACAATTTTAATGCAGGGCTTTCTTTTCTTTAGTGTTTTTACACTGTGATATTAGTATTTTTAAAGTAAAGGATGTGAATACATCATTCATACTACTGGATGACTGTGTTTATTTCCTAGCCATCTGATGTCAAACACTTGTATATGGTAGAAATAGTCCGCTAACGATGTGACTTTTTTCATTAAGGCTTTAAAAGATTGCAACAAAATATGGGGTATCATCAGCAAAACAGCAGTCAACCAAGATGGACATGCTGTCTCCCCGATCACCAAACCCTCAAAGATTCAACAAGAGGAGCTGCTGCGAAGAATCTACTCAGAGTCTGACATCATTAATGTCCAGTACATAGAGGCTCATGGGACTGGAACTCCAGTTGGAGACCCAACAGAGGCAGGAAGCATCTCCAACGTCATCGCTCAAGCCAGACCTCCAGGTTCAGATATGCTGCTGCTCGGCTCTGTGAAGGGCAACATCGGACACACAGAATCTGCAGCTGGAGTGGCCGGACTCATTAAGGTTCTCCTTATGATGAAGCATGACACTATTGTTCCCTCAGTGTTCTACTCTGAAGACAGTGCCAGTGTAGATGTAAAAGTCCTGAATCTAAAAATTCCTACTAAAGCTGAGAGATGGGAGACAAATAGGTCACTAGGAAGGGTAGCTGGCATCAACAGTTTTGGGTTTGGTGGCACAAATGCACATGCGATTTTAAGAGAGTATAATCACACTGCAGTTCCAACACAGATACCAAAAGGTCCAAAACTTTTTGTACTATCTGCAGCCTCTGAGAAATCACTGATCATGACCATCACTGACACTCACCAAAGACTCTGCAGCAATCAAACACTTGACTTGCGAGCACTTTCATACACCTCAGCATGTGGACGGAGTCACTACAAACACAAACATAGGAAGTCCTTTCTGATATCCTCCCTCTCAGATTTAGAGCACCAGCTGACATCTGCACTGAAAACAAAGGTTGAGTCAACAAGGTCGGACATCCAGGTGGTCCTTGTGTTTTGTGGAAATGGGGTTGCCTACAGGGGGATGTGCAAACAGCTCATGAGAGACTTTCTTGTTTTCAGAGATAAGGTCAGAGAGGTAGAGAATCTCTTCCAGACTTATAAAACCATCAGCATCAGCAAATGGCTCAGTGGTGAGTGTGATGATGATGATTTTAGCACACCAACTGTCATCCAGCCTCTTCTTTTTGCTCTCCAGATCGGTATTGCAGCTCTTCTGAAGCACTGGGGTGTCAAACCCGATGCTGTGCTTGGTCACTCTGTTGGTGAAGTTGCCGCTGCTCACTGCTCAGGCCTCTTGTCTCTTGAGGATGCAGTGAAAGTGTTGTACCACCGTAGTACTCTCCAGAGCAAAGTCACAGGAGGGAAGATGCTCGTGGTCGGCAACGTGGCTGTCGAACAGGTGTTAAAACTTCTTCAGGCTTTCTCTGGGAATATTTGTGTAGCTGCTTTCAACAGCCCTCAGTCCTGCACGCTGTCAGGAGATGCAGATGCTATTGACATCCTCCATGAGAGGCTGAAGGTCATGTTTACATGTAAAAACGTCTTCCTCAGTGTCTTGGATGTCCCAGCAGCATACCATAGCCATATGATGGATCCAGTACAAGATGACATTGAGCGAAGCATTGACCTTTTGGATGTCAACAACATGGAGTGCAGCCTTTTTTCTACTGTGACTGGAGACAGGTGTTCAGATGGTGATTTCAGCACTGGTACTTACTGGGTAAAGAACATCCGAGAGCCGGTTTTATTTGAAAAAGCGCTTTGTGCTGTCGTGAAAGACAAACAGCTCAGGAGAAATGTGGTCTTTGTGGAGATTGGACCTCGTAGGGCTCTTCAAAGGAACATATGTGAGACTCTGGGCAATGACACCATAGTTCTTTCCTCTGGTCACCCAGATAAAGATTCTGACACTCTTATCTTAACAGTGGCAAAACTGTTTGAACTTGGCATTAATGTTAACTGGCATCAGCTCTACAGAGGCTGCCAGACATTGCCCACAACGCTTCCAGTCTATCAGTTTGACAACACAAAGAAAGAGCTAAATTTTGAAGCTTTGAGAAAAGGTGATGAAACATCTGCGTTATCTCGCCATGTCCTCATCTCACAAATAAAGCAAGATAACAAAGAGTTCACGTGCAACCTCTCAGTAGAGACTGCATCGTATCTTTGGGAGCACCAAAACAACAACATTCCCATTGTGCCCGGTGCGTTTTATGTTGAATTAGCTTTTGCTGCAGTGGTGGCAAGCCTGAGGCCAAAGCAACCAGTTTCTGTGCTCCATCTCAGTGTTAGATTTGAGAGCGTGTTGATACTCAACTCACAGTGTAAACAGTTGAAGGTGACACTGGGACATGTGGAAAAGGTGGCTTCATTTAAAATACAGTCTTCTTCTGCAACACATGCCTCTGGGACATACATGTGTACAGATAGCCAACCTTTGTTGGAGGAATCAAACATTTGTGTTGACCTGATCTCCCAAAGGTGCAAGTCGGTTTTGACGAAAAAGGAGATTTACTCAATTCTTTCTCAGGCAGGATTTGAGTATGGCTCTGTGTTCAGACAGCTTGATGATGTGCAGTTTGGGAATGAATTCAAGGAAGCTCTGACAGCGATTCAAGTCCCTGGAGAAGTTCTGAAACATCTCCATGACTATTTCATTCACCCTGTCCTGCTGGATTATTTCCTGCAGATGACCGCTGTGGTTGCAATGGGACGACTAACAGCCAAGCAGGGATTCCCTTCAGGTATTGCAAGCATAGCTGTATCAGCACCACTGCAGGAGGAGATGGTCATGTACTTACGAGCCACTCAAGAAACCTCAGAGTTCCTTGATGTATGTGGTTGCTTTTCCACCACAGAAGGAAAGGTATTAGTGGAACTTAAAGGTGTGAGGATTTCATTTTTGGGCGGATGCTCAAATGTTCCTCAGTCATTGTTCTTCCACAATGAAACAGTTGCAATCGCCAAAGAGAGAAACTTGGAAAATTACAAAATAAAAGCAATTGTTTTCGAGGATAAGCTCTGCATTGCTAAAAGACTTAGACCATATATGTGCCCAGAGTCAGTCATTGTGGAGAGCAGAGATCAAGTTAGAAACATAGTGTTCTACTTGCTTAACACCATGGCAGATTTGGACAATATCCTCTTCATTTGGGGTGTAGAAGACATCAGTCACTTGTCATCCAAGAAGATGCTGGACTCCTTGGTCGCTTGCTGTGAGATATTTCGGCAGATTGTTTTAGCTGTGAATGAGAGCAAGCGTTCTTGCACTGTTCGCGTCATAACTTACAGATCAACAGAAAAGACCATGGATCATATCAGTCCTGGTTTTGTGCTTTCTGGTATGACGAGGGCTTGCGCAGCAGAGATGGCGGATCTTTGTTTTCAGCTGATTGACCTTGCTTCTGTGGCCAATGAAGACATTCAAATGCTGGCTCGTGTAATTAACACCAGCAAACAACAAGAGGTCAGGATCAGTAAAGGGCAGGTGACGGTAACGAGAATACTACGGACCCCAATGAAGGAAAAGGCTTCATGTGAAGGTGCACATTCTGTTTATCTGAGAGACTTTGTGCTACAGACAGCGGATCCATACAGAATGGCTCACATGTCGGCCATCCCTGCTAACACTAATCAAAATCCTGTCCAGGAGAAGTCAGTTGTAATTCAGCTAACCAATATATGCACACATTCGTCAGATTACTTCCCTGTAAGCACTACGCATTTGAACTTTGGCGAGACACTGTACTGGAACAAGCATGCATCACAGAATCACAAACTCCTGGCTTTAGATTTTAGCGGCATTGTCACAGCTGTTGGGAAAGATGTTGCTAGTCTAAGAGTGGGAGACCACGTCGCTTCATGCTATCCAGTTCCTGCCACTGCAAAGATTGTAATTCCTGAAGCAGTGTGCTACAACACAAAGAGACTTCTATTTTTCAAAGAGACCCCGTGTGTTTCTTACTTCATACTGGCATGGGAGATCCTGCAGAGAATTCTGTCTAAAGTGAAAGAACAGCGCAGAAAGTTGGCCATTATCTCCTCAAACTCTGCCTCTGCTCTGACGAAAGTTTTGGCTCTTACAGCAAACAGGTCAGGCTGGAATGTTTCTTCTCGGGCACACTTCACGATTGAACCTCCACATTTTGATGCATTCGTTTTACTGCCACCATATGATCAATCTTGGCAGGGGGTGCATGACAGTGGTGGCCTTGAGAAACACATCATTTTTGTGTGCAGCAGCCACATGTCATCCTTAGCCACAGCGAGCATGTTTGCATTGAAGAGTGAACACATTCATGTACATACGCTTGATGTGGCTACTGTTCTGCAGAGAGCTCATCTACATGCAGAAAACAGAAATATCTTCAACTGGCTAGTGTCGTTAGGCTTTGATATGAAATCTCTACCTCTGAGAGGGGAGCTTTATCAGCCAAAAGAGTCTCAGCCCGACTCGGAGTCATATTTCACCACAAAAACAGTGCGGCAAGTTGTTTTAGGCTACGGAGAGCTTGATTCACCAGTATCTGATATTAATTTGCTTACAAGACCTCAACAACTCTTTAAACAAGGCTGTGTTTATGTTGTAACCGGAGGGCTCTCTGGTTTGGGGCTTGAGACAGTTAAATTCATCGCCCATAATGGTGGAGGTTGTATTGCAACACTGTCAAGAAGTGTTCTTTCTGATAAAATGCAATTTGAAATGGATCTTCTCCTGAAAAGATACGAGGTCACTATCATAAATATCCAATGTGACGTTTCTGTGTCGACGCAGGTGGTGGATGCGATCTCAAAAATCGGGCAAAGATTCCCCTCTTGTCCCATCAAAGGTGTGTTTCACAGCGCTGCAGTGCTGCACGACGCACTGGTTGAATCCCTTGATGAGTCTCTCTTCAGAAAAGTGCTGCAGCCCAAAGTGAGCGGCGCTCTGAATCTTCACTATGCAACGCTTCACAACAAACTTGATTTCTTTGTGTGCTATTCTTCCATCTCGTCGTTCGTAGGCAATGCCTCACAGTGTAACTACGCAGCAGCCAATTCCTTCCTCGACATGTTCTGTCATTATCGGAGAAACCTCGGCCTCGCAGGACAGTCCATCAACTGGGGTCCTTTGAACCTCGGTCTGCTGCTGCACAAAGACCACTTCCAAAAGTTCCTGGAGGCAAAAGGGATGATGACACTAGATGTATGTGAGGTTCATGAGACACTTAAAATCTGTCTTTTGATGAACAGACCCCAACAAGTGATATGTAAATTCAATTTCAAAAACCTTAAGATTCACGTTCTTTCTCAAAATGCATCTCTTAGAGAGCGACTGTCAGCTTTAGTGGAAATGGAGCTGAAAGATGAAATACACAGTGAATCGAAGGTTCATCATTTGTCTTCCACACATGAAAGCGTGAGGGCAATTGTCAGCGATATAACCAGTGTAAGTGTAGATGAACTGGACGATGACTCCTCTCTGTTTGCGTTGGGGATTGACTCGATGTTAGCCATGACTCTGCAGAACAAGATTTTCCAGGAAACAGGTGTAAATGTACCTCTGGTTATCATACTGGACCCCAACAGTACACTCGCCAGTTTGGTTACTGTTGTGTTGAACAGTGGATAACTTCATATCATGTGTTTTAATGTATGTGTTTTATATTGCATGCAAGTTCTTTGTGCAAGAGCACTACAAGACTTACATTTTCTGCATGATAAGAGTCAAATGATGTTAGGTAATGTGTATATTTACATGAAAACAAGTTTGATTATGTCTTATGTGTGCCTGTAGAACAGCTCATAATGGAGGGAATTAATTTGATGTTATTGTTTTTAGAAACAAATTTTGTCTCTGTAGCCAAACCATAACACAGCTCCTTCCTCGTTATCACAGAACTTCATTGCGGTCATGCACTTTTTAATGGGTTAGTGTAATGTTGGTTAAAATCTACTTTTCACCCTTATGTATATAACAGATTTCAAAATTAAAATGAACCAAAATGTTTTGAGCTTTAATGAATATTTGAACTGATATGTGTACTGATATGTTTGCTTGTTTTATGTTATTGTAATATATAAGTTTAAAGTATCAGAGATTTTAGACAGTAAACACCCCAGGATACTCACATGATTATGTGTTGTGCAACCTTCTTGAAAGAGTTTTTGCAAATAAAACCAACCTTATGGAGTGTAAAACTCGATCGATTTATTGGGTCATAGCAAAGCAAAAAATAACAACAAAGACATTAGGCAGGTTATTTTAAAACAATAACTGTGATTAAAAGTTTCTTTTAAAAAGCAACTGCAAATATCAGTGTGGTAAAAATAGACATCTCATCAAACAGACCAGTACAACAAGAGAAAATAAATTTTTTTGTTGTCATTTTGTGTAAATTAGTGACATAACTTTGTTTTAGAACCTTGTTGAACCCTGTGAGGCTTAATTACAGAGAAAGCTTTAAGGGTACAGCTTTTATTAAAATGAAATGATACAAATGAAGGCATGTATTTTACATAAATTATTTAACAAATGATCAAGCTGTTGCATGTTCAACTGTATTTCTTTCAAGTCTTCATCATTAACATATCAATGAGCAAAATGAGTTAAACTGATACAACACATGAATTACTAATCATGTATGTTTATAAAGCTGCAATTCGGAAATGAAACAAAACCACAAATAAAGATTTGCACAAAAACAAAGAATGCAAAGTACATCATGAATATGAATTCTGACACATGACAATGGTCATCAAAACGTTTCGATTGACTACAACGGAAAGGTTTTCAATTAATCCACTGTTATAATGCTGTGATGACTGATTCTCTAAAGACAGTTTGCATCTGAAGTTTTTACAACCTGGTGGAAACATCATCAATGTCCTCAACTGGAAGAGAGTCTTGGGTTTCACCCTCAGCTCCTTCACTCAGTACGGCTACCACAGCTGACACTGTGGCATTGGGATCCAACAGTTTCACCAAAGGCACATTCACACCTCTCTGTTGAAACATCATGTTCTGCAGAGTCATGGCCTGCATGGAGTCAACGCCTAGAGACGAAAGAAGTGACTCACCCTTGAGCTCACTCTGATCTATGCCAATGGTCTCACAAAGCAGGGAAAAAACATAGTCTTTTGGTGAGACAGAGTCAGTTTGCTTAGTTTGAAAATGTATATCTTTAGATTTTTGGAGGGCCTCCTCTACTATCGCGTACAGACGCATGGCCAGGGATGCATTCTGAGAGAGGATGTTGTGCCTGATGTTTCTGAAGTGAAACCTGCAAACAACTTGCTGGGGTCGGTTGAGCACAAGACATTGCTCCAAGCTTTTATGAATCTCTGCCACATCTAACACCATCATGCCCTTTCCCTCCAGAAACCGCTGTAAATGTTCTTTGTTCAAGAGCAGACCGAGGTTCAGAGCTCCCCAGTTGATGGACTGTCCAGACAGCCCGAGTCTGCGTCTGTACTGACAGAACATGTCGAGGAATGTGTTGGCTGCTGCGTAGTTTGTTTGCGATGCGTTTCCCAGAAAAGCCGAGATGGAAGAGTAACACACGAAGTAGTCTAACTGACAGTGTTGTGTTGCATAGTGCAGATTCAGGGCACCATTTACTTTGGGTCTAAAAACCTTCTCATACAGAGATCTGTTGAGGGTCTCAATCAGCCCATCATGCAAGACAACTGCACTGTGAAACACTCCTCTGATTGGACAACAGGGGAACTTCTGGCCAATGACACTGATAACCTGGTGCACGTGCTCAGAGACAGATATGTCGCACTCCATGCTGGTGATGCTGTTTCCAAACTGTCTCTCCATATTGTGGATTTCTTTCTGCACTTCTGGACTGGGCTTGCTCCTGGAGAGTATGATGACATACTCACCGCCTCTTTGGGAGATGAACCTGACTGTTTCAAAGCCCAGACCAGAAAGACCTCCTGCCACTATGTACACTGCTCTCTTTCGAAAAAGCTGTTTCTTTCCTGCCAGCTGTTGAATGTCAGACAGCGTATCGGCAACATCTTTTTCCAGAGTCACCACAGCCAGTTTCGTTGAGCTGAAGTATGATTGCGGTTCCTCTGAATTCAGGCTTCTGGTTTCAGAGTTCATGCTCTGAAACGTAAAGCTTTCAATAGCAATTTTCCCGCACAAGTTCAGGGATTTCAGCCAGTGGTAAATGTGTGGCCTGTGTGCTCTCAGGGATCCCTTTTGCAAAATGACAGGCATCTGAATCATCTGTACGTGAACGCTTTCCTTTACATTTTGGAGCACTTCCTGAATTAGCAAACCCTGCATCTGAGATTTGCATATCATTACAACATATCGGATGCCTGAAAAGTTGCAAATTTTAGCAATCAGGGATTCATCAAATGGAGGCAGGATGACATATGCATCCATTTGATTGACATCTACAGTTGAGCCAACATTCACAGTCCAGCCTGATTTTTCAGAGGTGAGCGCTAAGACTTTCACCAGGGCGGAATCAGGCACAGAGCAGAGGATTTGTAAATTATGTTTGCCTCTGGGCAAGGCTCGATGCAGGAGCTCCCATGCTAACACAAAGTAGGAAACACATGGTGTTTTTTGGAGGAAAGAGAACTTTTTGGTGCTGTAACACACGTCCTCTGGAACTCTGACCTTACTAGCTGCCACCACGGGATAACAGGAAGCAACATGATCTCCCACTTTCAATTTCCGCACATCTTTTCCAACTGCTGTAATGGTACCACTGAAGTCAAGAGCGAGCAGCTTGTGCTTCTGATACGAGTGTTTGTTCCAGTACAGTGTCTGGCCGTGTTTCCGATGTGAATCACTGACAGCGAAGTAATCAGACGAATGAACGCATATCTTACTGGGCTGGATTTCAACTGATGCATCACCGATTGGCTCAACCTCCTCATCAAAATGAATGGCACTCAGTTGAGTCATCTTATGTGCATCAGCTGTCTGAAAGATGCAAGGTTCAGACATTGTAGAGGTGTAGCTGCCCTCTGAACTGTCAGTGGTTTCTGGTGGGGTACGGACAATGGAAGGTTTCCAAATCAGCCCTTCTTTGACCACCAACTCTGGGTACTTGTTGCAAGGATATGATCTTAGGACCTCTGACAGAGCTTCTATGTCCTTAGCAGAGATGCTGCTTATATCAATAAGCTGAAAAGAAAGATCTGGTATCTCTGCAGCAAATGCTCTTGTCATACCAGCAAGAGCAAAACCTGGGCTTATGTGGTCAACAGTGATGTCAGATGAGCAGTAGGTCACTGCTCTAATTGAGTTTGGGAAGTGAATTCGCTTCAGCTCAAGGACTATTTGGCGGAAAATTTCACAGCAGCTCGACAGATTTTGCAGAATCACATCAGCTGGCAGTGTTAAAAGGTTTTCTTTGCCCCACAAAAACAAAACCTCATCAAAGCTCTTCTCGATATCTGTGATATTGAGATTTGCCAAGAGAGAAGGAAACCCACTGCTCAAGACATCTTTTGCATGTGTGAAGGAGACATATTTAGACTTTGAGTCCAAATGTTGCCTCAGACCTTTAGAGATCCCTATACGGTCACAGAAGACCAAAGCCTTGGGAGGAGGAGCAGGAGGGAAACCTTGGGGAATGACACTGAAAGTGTTATGGTAGAAGTATTCCTCAACCACATGAGACTGACTGCCAAGGTACTTGAACATCACATGCTTAACCTCAACCAACACTCTGCCTTCCATGTCCGCAAAGCAGCCACAAACCTCAAAATGATCAACTCCCACGTCAGTCGCTCTCAGATATACAATCATCTCATTTTGCAAGGGTTGAAACACTGTCAGACTTCCAATTTTGGCAGGAAACCCTGGCCGACCAGCAAAGAAGTGGTCCACTGTGACTGGGAGAAGCTGCATCAGATAATCCAAAACTACAGGATGAATGTAATAGTCATGCAAATGAGAACGCAGTTTCTCTGGAACCGTTACAACTGCAAATGCCTCCTTTAGATCTTCCCCATAGTGCACGTCCCCTTTATTCTGAAAGACATCTCCATACTGGAAGCCTCCTTGAGCGAGATAACCGTAAAACTCCTGACAGCTCACTACAGATGTGCATCGTTTGTAAATGGAGCTCAAGGAAATACAGCTCTCCTCAATCGGTCTCTTTCTCTTTAAAGCAACTGTGCCTGATGCGTACACTGCAGATGGAGAGAGTACAGTGAAACTAGTCTCTCTCTCTTTTTGTTCTAGTTGCACCTTCATTTCAGGGGAATTCTGGGTCAAAACAAATGGACTGTGAAAACTGACACTGAGCTGTAGCGGGTTGATGGGTACTTTTGGTACGGCAGTGGCCATAAATGCAGCTAAACCCAACTCAGCATAGAAGGCACCAGGAATAATTGGTATGTCATTGTGCTTGTGCTCCTTCAAGTAGAAAGAAGAGTCAGACACAAGATCACAGCTGAAACTATTCCTCTCACCTCCTGTCTGACAGAGCACAGGATGTATACTTCTTCTGTTTTTCTGTGCTGCTGAGATGATAATGTCTCTGTCTGAGTGATCAAACTGGTATTTTGGGAAAGGCAGTGGCGCTGACTCATAACCTCTGTAGAAGGTGTCCCAATCTACCTGAACACCCAGTTCGAACAGTTTCGAAACTACAGATGTGACTGATTCGTGATCTTTCTCTGGCTGCACCGAGGCAAGAACAGTTGTGTCATTTCCCAGAGTTTCAATGATGTTTCTCTGTAGCGCCCTTCTAGGTCCGATCTCTACAAAGACTGTGCTCTTCTTCTCTTTAGCTGCCGATCTCACTGCCTGCTCAAAAGCAACTGGCTCGCGGATATTTGTAGCCCAGTATTCCCCTGTGCAAAAATCTCCCTGCTGGGCTTCCTTGCCTGTCACTGTAGAGAACAACTCTGTGTCAAGATCATTCACCTGTAAGGTGCCAATTGTCGCTTCGACTTCTGGCAGAATTGGATCCATCATGTGGCTGTGGTAAGCAGCAGGGACATCCAGGACACGGAGGAACAGGTTCTGATTGTTAGCCGAGTTGCTTAGCTCCCTGTGGAGGCACTCGATTGCACCTGCATCACCTGAGAGGGTGCAGGACTGCGGGCTGTTGAAAGCAGCAAGGCAGACTCTACCAGAGTAAACAGGGAGAAGAGATGTTACTTCTGACACAGCCATGTTGCTGATCACAAGCATCTTCCCGCCTGTGACTTTGCTCTGGAGAGTGCTGCGGAAATATATGACTTTCACCGCATCCTCCAGAGACAGGAGGCCCGAGCAGTGAGCGGCGGCAACTTCACCAACGGAGTGTCCAAGAATCGCATCAGGCTTGACCCCCCAGTGCTTGAGTAGGGTTGCAATCCCAACCTGGATCGCAAAGAGGAGCGGTTGGACAACATCTGGGTTGTTGAAGTCACTACTCTCAGTCTCACTCTCGAGTGTGTCCAGGATGTCCAGAGTGCACAGACTCTGGAAAAGTTGTGCAATCTCTTTGATCTTTTCTCTGAATATAGGCTCATGTTTCAGTAGCTGCTTGCACATGCCATGATATGTGACTCCATTTCCACAGAACACAAACACTAACCTTGGATCTGAAGAGGCTGGTTGGATTTTTTTGCCAACAGTGGCACTTAGCTCCTCTTTGAGATTGACTACAGATGGTACCACAATGGCTTTTCTGTATCTATGTTTTTGGTGGCTTCTTCTGCAAGCTGATGTGTACAACAGAGACTCTACATTGACATTGTTATCTGCCTGTAGCTGTTTAATGGTGTCTTCCATCATCATTGTAAGAGATTTCTGTGACTTTGCAGACATGACAAAATATCTTACTTGCCTCTTGTCACTCTTTTGCTCGACACATGGTTGGATGTGCTGTTTGACAATAACATGTGCATTTGTTCCGCCAAAGCCAAAGTTATTAACCCCCGCAATTCTTGCGCCTGAGGCTTCCCACTTTTCTGTTGTCTTGGGAATTTTAATGTTCAGGGCTTCAGTGTTTACACTGGACATTTCATCAGAGTAGAAAACTGAAGGAACAATAGTGTCATGCTTCATCATCAGGAGAACCTTAATGAGTCCGGCCACTCCAGCTGTAGATTCTGTGTGTCCGATGTTGCCCTTCACAGATCCGACCAGCAGCGTCTCAGAACCTGGAGGTCTGGCTTTAGCGATGACGTTGGAGATGCTTCCTGCCTCAGTTGGGTCTCCAACTGGAGTTCCAGTCCCATGAGCCTCTATGTACTGGACATTAGTGATGTCAGATTCTGAATAGATACCTCGCAGCAGCTCCTCTTGTTGCGTTATGGAGGGTTTGGTGATCGGAGTGACCGAGTGTCCATCTTGGTTGACTGCTGTTTTGCTGATGATACCCCATATGTGGTCATGGTCTTGAAGAGCCTGTAGAGCAGCACAAAAAGTGAAGCAACAATTCGGCAACAGCTAGAGTATATGACGTAAATGTAGCAATGACACTCTGTAACCACTACTGTCTGCATGTCCTGACCTTTTTTAGCGGCTTCAGGAGAACCACACCACAGCCCTCCCCTCGACCGTAACCATCTGCTCTGCTGGAGAACGGCTTGCTGGTCCCATCGGGGGAAATCATCTGGGCCTTGCTGAGCGCGACAAACACCCTTGGCTCAATGATGCAGCTGACCCCCCCACAAACGGCCATGTCACAATCGCCTGATGAAAATTAAAAAAACACAGCTCATTATCGCAAAGTTGGGGAATGGCGTTCCACCAGTTGCTCTTAAAATGCAAGTTAGAAGCTTTACAGACCTTGTCTAATGGACAGACATGCAAGATGAAGAGCCACCAGTGATGATGAACAGGCACAGTCTAGAGACAGTGAGGGTCCAGTGAAGTTGAAGATGTAGGAGACTCTGTTTGCTGCAATGCTCATGGCGAGCCCAGTGCCGGTCCAGTGGTTGATCACACTTGGGTGCACGTGTGCAGCATTTGTTTCATAATCTCTGTTCATTATGCCTATAACCATGGAGAAAATATAGGGAATGTATTTAGCGGGAATGTATTTATTTTGGTTAGCGTTTAACTGGTGTATAATTTTAAAATTTAGATGTAGAAAGTTGGTTCAAGGTCAAGACGACTCGTTTAATTGTTGGTCAGTCCACCATTATTTTTCCAGAAGCACTAACTGGAAACATATTTTTAGCGTCTTACCAAAAAACACTCCCGTCTTTGTCCCGCTGGCTTTCTCGACAGGAATTCCAGCGTTCTCTAAAGCCCTATAGACACACTGGAGGAGCTGTTTTTGTTGAGGATCCATTTGTTCCACTTCACTGTCACTGATGCCAAAGAACTTGTGGTCAAATTCGTTAAACCTGAAATCATTCATAGACATCAAATTAGATTTAGGTAAAATATGATAGATCACAATTTAAACTATTCTCCATCCTCTCAAAAATTGGTTTTATTTGACGTCACATCAATACATATCATAGACTTTTGAGTTACAAGGTATGGAACGATTTATGTGCAGAGTCTGAACCTAGAAGGCTGTTTTTTTAATTGGGCTCACATAAAATCTGAGTTTAAAATGTGTACTTGAAAGCATCATTTGTGCCACTGTGACATGGCAACTTGGAGTGGTAGCAGTGCACATGTATTGAAAACAGACAGTGAAGCAGGAAACATCTTGCATTCACTAAAAATGAAAATATTTGCATATTTAGGATTTTTCCTGACTGATAATCCTAAAGGCAACAACTCTGTGGCTTCATATTTGATGGAAATCTTTGCATTTTCTTTGTATTTTTGTCCATTTGATGAACAAAAATATCTGTTTTTCTTGAATAAATGAAACCCCAGTTAATTTTCAGTTCTTATCATTTAGATGCTGTTAGGTTTTCTTGGCTAAAACCTTTATGGGGGCACCTAAATTCCAATTTTAAAAAACCCTTGCATAGTCTTAGATTCTGATTTTTGTTTTTTCAATGAGGGAAGAGATGTAGATGTCAGTTTTACAATTTACAAACATCTTCATGGAAAAATCCATACATACATAGTGGTCTTCAAAGTGTATTTTTATATGTCTGAACATGTCTGCAGAGGATTAAAAAAAGAAAAAAGTTTGTCTGAAGTGAATGACAGTTGAACAGAAGAACATTCTGAGTCATCTGCAGTATCTAATCAGCATCAAGGCGAGCTGAGAGAACTAAAAGGTTAGGCGTTTCCCACTTGAACCTTGGTTTGTTTGAGTAAATTCAATAGTTTCATGTTGGCTCAGTGCTCAGTTTCATTTTCTAAAAGCACCTGTATCACAAACTGCATTTCTTTTCTGCTTTTTTTCCCTCCCACATTTATCATTGTCTAATTTTTCCCCCATTAGTAGCCATGTGCCAGACTTCCTACTAGCATTTCAGCCACACTTCGCCATCACATGTCCAACAGAAGTGTGGGCTGCTGGGTTTATATATGTGCTTCCCACACCTGCTGCTAATCCACAATCAGTGACTCCACTAACAGGTTCCACCACACCTGACTTCATCACAATCACTGGGCTTTGGAAAAGGTTCAGAGAACAAGTTTACATTTCTATCTATGTATATGTGTATTTTTGACACCCAGGACTGAAGTGATCAGGTCTGATTCTGACAGTGAGTTGTTCATTAAAATGATAATAATTAAAAAAAAAAAAAAAAAAAGGCTTTCAGTACAGGAAAGTTTTTAAAAATGATTTTTGTCTCCACAAAATATTGCCCCAAACAGATGTCAGTAGTGTGTGTATATACATATATAGTTAGTTTGATCAGATCAAATAGCAAAGAGAATTCAAAATAAAAAAAAGAAAGAAAATAAAATATATATTTTTAAAAAATACATAAACATATATCAAAAAATATATTACAAAATATAACAATAACAGAATAATAAAAATAACATATTAAAAATACAAAAAACTTAACTACTGTGGTAACATAACCATGAGGTCCACGCATGTGACGCCAGGTCTTAAGAGATTCAATACATCTGACTTAAAATAATGGCCTTAATGTTACTTGTTAAGTTAATCTGAATAAACTTAACTCACTTGTGTGTTACCATTTGAAGCAACTAATTTAAATTGGTCCCACAATTTACTTTTTCCAGTTTAAAACACAGAACAAACAAGGAAAATAACGCTAAGTAAACTTTTTCAGACCACTATATCTACAGTATATACACACATGTCCAAACCACACCAGCAGGCTTTTCTTAACAGGATCAGAGTTTGAAGCACAACGTACCCATCAATGAGAGCAGCCTTGGCTGTTCGGGATTTTCCTGCCTTGCTGCCATCTGGGTCGTACCAGCTGGACAGGTCAAATCTCTCTTTGGGAATCGGCACCGAACAGTTTTTTCCATCCACCAGAACCTTCCAGAAATTATCAAGCCCTTCTCCTGAACAGAACAACATATATTATTACAAAACAATCCGCTTTAAAGCTTCAAATCACAAATCGCTTTATGGGAATAAAATTCAATTTATAGGAAGTAAAATGGAGAAAAAGAAGAGATTTTTTAAAATTAGAACGACCACAGTTCATACTGAATCATCCTGATGGTTGTTCAAAAGTTGTACGTCTCATTTTGAATTGTAAATTTTTTAGAAATGACCTAAAATTTTGTTGAAATCATGCAAACTGTCTTTACTATTTGAATTTTCTGATACCACATTGAGAGTTTCTTTTCACTTTTCTTAACTTGCATTACACAAGACAGAAAAAAAACATCAGTGAATTCCAACTTAATTAGTACAAACACCAGAAACAAACTAAAAGTTCTGCTCACCTCCTGGAAAATTGCATCCGATTCCCACCACAGCAATACTGTCCTCAGGTTCTTCCATCTTAAATGAATGAAAATCCTAAATCCTTAGAGCGCCATCACGTCGCCATCACTTCTACATCCAGACAGCATCACACCAGAACACAACTTACTTCTAAACCAGTTTAGTGACGCGTCACTGCATCCTTACACCCTTCCTGTAGCTGCTTCCCTCCCTGATGCTATCTCAGCCTGTTGCTGTCCATTCTTATAGGCACTTTCTCTTCTCGATTAAACATTAATGCCTGCTTGTATACGTGCCCATGAGGATGAAGGACTTCAGTGCACACATTTATTTGCGTTGCAAACAATTAGACCAAGTTTAATGATTAAATCTATATGTCATGCAGTGGAGCGACACTGGTTTTGGTTTCACATAAGCTTATCACAGTTAAACCATAATAAAGATAAAAAGGACTTTCATGAGGCTACTTTCAGTTTTATTCATTAATGATGGATCCACAGAAAAGACGAGGGCAAAAGGGGTTACTTGTATTTACACAACTGATCTAAAACACTTGATCAGATTATTGTCAGGTTCTCATAATGACACAACATCTACAATTATTGTGTGTAAAAGGGCAGCTAAAAACACAGGAAAAAACACAAGAAAAAAAAAACAACATGCATCCAATTCCCACCACAGCAACACCGTCCTCAGGTTCTTACATTCTAAATGAACGACTGATTGTATATGTGTCCATGATGGCACCTAAGCTTCCAACAAAAAAAAAAAACTCTTGCATAGATTCTGTTGTTGTTTGTTGTTTTGTTTTTTAATGAGGGAAGAGGTGTAGACTCTTTCATGGAACAGCCCCCATCAGAA